TGACTTAGCTGATTGGTTCTCCTTCCGCCTTAAATCTCGACCAACCTTGGAACCTAGTCACTTTTGTGTCAAAAGCGAGACGTTGCCCAGCAATGAATCTACCGATCGTTACCACACTTTTCCGAAAATGATTGGGCTTAGTTCGGTGGTTACCGTTTAGAGAAAAAAGCACGACGGAAACTTGGGACTGCGCCCGCCTCAAGAAGGGCGAAATCGCTCGTGAGCTGTCGAATTGTTTCTGTCAACCCTGTGAATAGTGTACCGCAATATCTTGAAACATGAGTCGGCCTGGTGCACCACATTCAGTTGCTTAAGAACATCATAAATGAAAGATACCCAGTTGCGCTCCAGGTGAGTCTTTCGTCCAAATCAAATCGGAATACCGATAAGTGTATAAGTCGAAAGTTTGGATCTCAACTGGAAGTATGCTTATCAAACCTATATAGGCTCCTCAATTACGTAGTTTCTGAGCCATTGTTACTTTGACTTCAGAGGGACTCCACACGGGGTCAAACACAGACTTCTGATCTTAGTTGTGCCTCCTAATTTACTAAGCACCTGTGAAGGCGTTATCAACGGTACTAGTGTGTTTCACATAAGCCTTTAGACAACTTTAGTGCGACGGACCCACCAGTTCTCTGCGGTATTTAGCTGAGTGTTAGACATAGTAACTCGGTCTACACATACCTTACGACTCCATTCACAAGCACCCGAAACTTTTTCCCGTCTATTTGGAATGCAGTAACGTAAGAACAAAATCACAGAGTAGATACTTCGGGTGAAACTTTTTCCCAGCGGTCTCGTTATTGACCTTGACAGCCTCCTTTTATGTTGTACGATTGTATCAGAGGAACTGCGTTTTTTCACTCCCACCGAACTTGGGTATTTCCCGGCCCGACAAATCTGTCCTAACCCCTCTTCTTTCGAACTAACCTTATAGATGGATGACTGGTCCACAACGAATGTGCAGACTGGTGTCTTCCGTGAAGTCCACCTTTTCATTTTGAATAGTTCTCAAAATGCAGTCTTCCATCAGTAAATCCCACGCGTCCACTCCTCGGTGGATATATCATACTTGGATCTTCTCCAACCCCGGAGTTAGTGGTGAAGATGCCCTAGTATATGTACACAAATAGAAATAAGCGAGGTATCGACCGCACACCTCGGGTCCTGCTACCCCAGAAAGCATATACACAATTTGTCTCTGCTTGAAGGAGATCCACGTGAGAACTATCCATCAAAAACTAGGTGCATGGCATTGATTAAAGGCGAGGGCATTTGCAACTCTGTTCGTCGCTTGGAGTGTTAACTTTCTAGATATGAAAGATTTGTTCTCACTTGTCGTTCCTTGATATGCCAGAGGGTCATACGGAAGACTAGTTTCTGCGCATTCATTAAGGGGCAATCGCTTTGGATTGAAGATCAAGTTTGGAAAGAGTAGCAGCGTTTTGATGGCAAAAAGACGGAGTTCCTCATCCACAACCAATTGTCGAACAATTGTCAATGCAGGATTTTCGCTCTGCATTGATAACAACCTGATGCACCAGTAAATCCGGTATTCTATGGTTAAGGCCATTATAACCTACTACCATACTTTGGATTCACTGACTCGCTAGCTTTCACCTCGCACAGGAGGTGGGGTCTGCGTTATTAACCACACGATGTAACTACTGCTGGTTTCTCCAAATGTATTCCGACTTTTGCTCTACCCATGGGAAGAGGCCCGACTCTGGTCGCACCATCACAGTAGCACAATAATATATGCTTAATTGGAAGAAATCCGCAGATTGCAACAGCATTACGTTTATTCCTGTGTTCTTGGATTCAGCCGGCAATCAGTGCTTCAGATGCTCGATTTCTTTAGGACACAACAATATGTGAGTCAGAACCGAGTCACTATCAGACCACTTTCACTACAAACCGCGCGCGGGATTTAGCCATTTTCCGTTCAACCATGTGGTGATTGCATTCGACACGAACAGTGTGGAAATTACCCGTCCTTTTTAGGAGAACAATCACCGGTGCGCGCACAGCATCGGTAATTGCACCGGATCAAAACTCCGATAATCTGCCAAGGCTGTGACAGCAGCTTTTTCGTATTCAGTGTCACCATTTCACCTGCGGAAGTAAAGCGCCAACCCTCCCGGTAACAGACAGAGAAACGGCGAGATTTCTGGGCTTCCCTCAAACACCGCTTACCTGCATGTATCAGTCATGCCATCTGGAGGACACTGTTGTCCGACCGAGCTCCAGCAGGCTGTCAAAGCAAACCATGGAAGATGGAGTCTCAATGAACTGAGTCCACCCACACAATTTAGTATGGAGATAGAGTCAACCTCGGGTAAACTGGCCTTTTTAGACTGCCTGACACATAAAGTCGGGGGAAAACTAAAGACCACAGTGCACGAGAAGCCCACCGACACTGGGGCACTTTTAAACTACTCGTCTGCCCATCCGAAGTCGGTTTTCGCCAGTATTGCCTCATCAATATTTAGGCCCGTAAGGGCCCTGTGCACAGAATAAGCTGATCGACAGTGGTCTAAATTGAGGTAAAGAACAAACTTCGGTGTAGTGGATATCCAGCCAGCTTGATCAGGCGTCAAATGCGAAGGGTGTTGGTACCGGTAGCCAAACCCAACAGGGAATGGATCGGGACAGCTGTTATTCCATATAAACCAGGGACATCGGAGGTAATTGGAGAATTCTAAACACGGCCAACATTAGAGTAGCTTTCCAGAGGGGGAACACTCTGCACTGGTGCAATTGAAGGATCGCCTCCCGGCAAACAGAACCCGGGACTGTGTCTACAAAATCAAGTGTAATGACTGCACCAAGGTCTATATAGGACAGACGGCCAGGGAGCTACAGATCAGAGTCGGAGAGCTTAGTAGAAAAATAAACAGGCCGCCGAGAAACGCAGATGAATATCAAGAGTTACTGAAAGACTCGGCGATTGCGGAACACGCACTCGACACGGGACAAAGTAGATTTAGAGAATGTTCAGGTTTTGATGTGAGGACTACGGTCAGCGTCACACAGACTGATCGCTGAGGCGGTAGAAATCGCCAAGCATCCCAGTGTTAACAGCATAGAAGGTGAGGAACTGGCAAGCGTGTGGAGAACGGTCCTAGATCAGTCGAGCTGACACGTGTTGGTGTGCGGTCTTCAGAAGGAACAGTGGTCATCATCTGAAGTTCACTTGACCTCAAGCCCTCGAACTAAATTGTCGGAGCACTCAAGACCCCACAAAAACCAGGGAAAAGCTACCAGTGACAACCCAGGTGAATCATCTGAAGCACCCTGAATTGGAAGATTAACGAACCAAACCCGATCAGAATTAATTTACCCCCTCCTCCCCCCCAATCCACCAAAGCAAAATTTTGGCAACTTCACTAACCGACAAGAGTCGTAATTGACACTCAACACTGATCTGGTGCGATCATCTGAAAAGGACCAACTTACTGATTAGTTCCCCGTCTGCCTTATAACCTGGCCAATTTGGTGACCTGCTCATTTGGCCTGATGAAGCTTTTGTGTCAAAAGCGAAACGTTGCCCAAATAAAGACTACCGATTGTTTACCAAGTTCTTCTGAAACGAGATTTCGAAGTTGTCTGAGGAGACGACCATCCTAGGACGAAATTGGCGTACAGATTATTCGAAATGATACCCCAACTTTGCGATGGTTCTTAACCGCAATCTGGTATGGCAGAAAAAGCTGTTGCTATATTACAGTGATTGGATATTTAGTCATGAAAAAATCGCTCATAGCCAAGAATAAACAAGTCTACATGGGTGGAACTTATCCATTTGGTTTCCATTAGTGCTGGATTGTAGACAATGTATCGCCGACCGACAAACCATAGAAACAAAGCTGTTCTTCCGAATTAGCGCACAGTTCGATCGTCCGTCTGCCGTGTGACTGACACCAATCCGAAAAGGATGCACTATAAAATGCCAGTTGGCTGTCCAGTTCTTCCGGAATTCGATTGAACACACAACTGGCCTCAGTGGATAGCCGAAAACATTTCCGTACAATCGGTAAGGCAAGCCCCAACGGGGCACGTGCACACTCATCGTGCCACTCCTTTAAATCGTTAACGCCTGTCAAGTGTCGCGGATCCGGATGGAACACTGCCGGGTTCGCTTCATACGTGGTGTATGCGTCAACAGTATCTGACATTATCTGTAGAATTGACAATGGAATATCGTAGTCTCGAGGAATGGCTTGCAAGAATAACCGAAATACGTATGCACAGAACGTGAGATGACAGACCCCAACTGGTAAACCCACAGTTTTCACAACCAATGTCTTGACGAGTGCTTCATCGCCAAGGGGTTTCCACAACACAAAATGATCGCGAGTTGCAATCCCCCGCAGGCTGAGAATGCGAAGCGTGCTAGCCCAGTGTCCAACACACAGGATGGTTTCTAGGTCTTTTGTCAAGTCCAGCTCGCACGCAGCCAGTAGTCGCCGATACTTGGCGCCCGGTACCCGTTCGTTGCTTCCACTTTGCCACCACCACAGCTTAGTTATGACGATTAGTTGGAGGACACAGTCCAGCATATTTTTAGCTCTTCCGTTCATCAGACATGCGACACGATGTATCTGTCGCTCCGCAGGCTCTTCATAGACCAATTCGAAATTTCCATCTGTCCAAAGTTGGTCGTCCTCTAAGTACATGCTCAGTAGTGAATAATGGGCGATGAGCATGGCAGCGATCAGTTTGACCCGATCGGATGCCGGTGCGCTGTCTTCGAGCTGCAATTGGAGGTGCTCAGCCGTTAATGCACTCACGAGATATGGGATGGACGCGCGGGCGACGCACTGGTGATACCCAGGGACGCATAGTTTCGGAAGACTTTCTGTAGCGTTTCTCTGTTCCATTGGACAGTTCCCTTCATACCGAGGCGACAACCCCATACGAATGAGTAGGTCACCCAGCTGTTCTATGGTCGGTTCGCCCGATCCGTCGGCCATTACTCCGCTGCTTATACCGTCCACACAGACACGGGACTTCTCTCAACTGAGGGAACAGCCTGCACCCGACAGGCAGCCTTGAGACGGGGCGGTGCGGCGACAACCAATGTCCAATCACGATTGTTGCTCTAAGTCACAGACACTTTGACCAATTGACGCCAAGGTCTCTTGGATTGATTGCCATCTGTCCTCGCTGCGGACAGGCTTCCGGGTGGGCCGTTAGCACAGTAATGCGTGCTCAGCCCTAGCTTCAGGCTACTCTTGATAGGCTGGGGTAGCGTTAGGGCGTTATGTTATCCTTCCTCGAAATGGGCAAAGATGGCTACTGAATGTGCACCACCCCATAAGTAGAGCTTTTGGTGGTCATACGGAACTGCATAGTTTTGTGAAGTTCACCACACCATTCTCCATATCTACTGGTGTATAAATTTTTTCAATATTTTCCGTAACATCCACGAATCGTTAACTCATTCTTCTTATACTTTTTTCAACGTTTTCCATAACATCCACGAATCGTTAACTCATTCTTCCGCTTGTGATTAGGACACGTTCTAGTGCACATCGCTACTGGTTGTTTTTTTAATGAAATTAAAATGCGTGGGTTGCTAAAACAGCCGAACCTTGGCTGCAGTACTGAAACGGATTCTCCACCCTGAAAATCCAACCAAACCAACAGAGGGTCGCCTTCAGTAACTCTGGCTTTGAACACTCCCGTGGACACTAAATAGCATCCTATTCCTTTGTACATTACCAATTTTACTGGTCTAAGTAGCGTGCACGTGGTACGGGCAACTGAGGTGATAGTTATCCGAAGAACTTATTGATTTTCGCACAATGAGTCAAATAAAATGTCTCCCAGCGCAGTCATAGAGACAATTTACAACCGCGATCTAGCGCCCCTCATCTAGCATCAGTGTGTGTTTCAACCAATTATGAGACAGAGCAAGAATGATGTTTGGCAAACTCGACTGATTGAGCCTCCTAATATCCATGTGATGCAACTTCTATGGAATTTATGCACTATTTACCTGAATTTTTAGCAGTTTCGATTGGATTTTACTTGTTGGCCTGGATAGTTTCTGTTCACCTCATTTGTGGGTTTCGTCTATATTTCCTCTTTTAGAGAGGCAGTATCATAGGGTTCATTCACTTTTAAGTCTGTGTCGTAATCTGTCATGGATGTCAACTTGTAACAGCCCCGCAAAATCTAACACAATTATCGTACAAATTCTCTTTAAATGATTCGGTTCTAACTTGCATCTGCCTTCATACTAGGGCTAGATAGCTTCAAGAGCACACTCCCAAAACGGGACTTTATAAGGTAATTCTCCCTCACTTCTCCAGAACCAACGATCCGTGTAGACTCTCGCAAAGTAGTTGCGTACCATAAAACGTGCTTAGACTTATAAGATTACTTTTTGGCTTTTAAGCTTAGATTGGCTTCATTTACAGGAGGAAACCTCTAATGAAGATTCTCAAGTCTTTTTTGTGTGGAGATTTCGTCCTGTAAGTGAAGTCCAATTACCTACTTGTATCCTGTCACCATCGGAACTCAGAGGATCATTCGACAAAACCAGGAACTGGCGCGTGAACAGGCTGCGATGGGGGACTACCATGTAATGACTGATAACAAAAAAGCGGTATTGAGGAGGATCACCAGAACTTATTACCTGCAAACTATAGCTGATCCGCTCAAAAAAAACGAACCTCGCAAATCTCATAGGCCTTCTCCCTGAGAACTCGTCTTGTTGCTCGAGGAGCCTGTCAGTATCGCACCAAGTGATGTGAGAAATGGTGGCCCCACAACCGCTCAGTCACGACTTATTCACATTGCTCATTGACCAACCATGACCTAGCGGTATAGCATCAGCTACCAATGGGAAGGTCACGGATCAGAACCGCCCTAGAGATTCCTGAGAGGCGCACTGAGTCCCAACTCAATAAAATGGCTGTACAGTTCTCGAGGGGATGAAATCTCAGATCAGTTTTAAAGCCATTGGGGAACCACGTGCTCGTCGGCTTGTGTCTAATAAGATGTCGAATCGCAATGTAGACTTAATGGTTTTCCCTTCATTTCTGATAGTTCATACTGGTGATCTTTCTTGGAGAGATGATCCCCTCCTTCGAGAAAAGAACGGCGTGGAAGTCCTTGGAAAAAGAGTGGCTCCCTCGTATTGAAATCTGCCAGGGCATGCTCACTATTGACCCTTTAAGAGAGTTCTCTCACTTCAGGTGGGTTAAGAATAGTCGCGTGTACTATGTCCTCTCAACAACTAATACTTTCTAGGAATAGTTATGTCCATTTTCCAGACAGAGGCCGAGAACAGAGGTGAAAATACCCAGGCTACTTGGAGACCAAGTTGGTTTGGTTTTTTTCAGTCGATTGCATAGGCCTCTCACCTCCTTGCTGGACGTGAATTTGTGCACAACTCACAAGCCGTTGACCGCAGTTCCTTCAAATGCCTGATTTCATTTTACAGGCAAATACTTCGTCAGTTTGGAACAACAACCACAGCACATCGTCACCCGGGCATTATTTTTCCTTATCCTGTGAGTAAGCAGTGGGCGGTCAAACGTCTTTTTGATCCCGAACAGTACACAGTGGATGCAGTGAAGCTTGTGCGAACCGGTGGCCGTGGACCCGATGGTAAGTTACCTTGACTGTGCTATCCCTCTCTACAAGAAACGCTGAGTAGTGTTTGTTTCAGGTTCCCCCATGCCCACTCGCGGCCGCCTTCTACATTTGGTTCATTCGGCTTTTCCCAGGCATCCCTAGAGAACCATTCGCTTCTGTAAAAAAAAACATGTATTCTCACGTGCTCTGATACGAAGAACGTAGCCTCGAAGTTGTTTATTGAAGCTTTGTCCTCGAAATACGTATACACGGATTTTAGGAACCGGAGACATAAAACTTTACTGCACTCCTCTCCAGTAAGGGCGACATCACCTCAGGGACTCGTTGTCGGAATTCACATATGTCGTATTCCTAATGTGAGCGGAAAGCAGCACTAACACTCAACACTAAGAAGGCGGAATTAGGGTTGTACTGATTTCCACAACTCACCTTTCTAATGGAAAGTGTGTTACTTCAAAAGTAATTTTGATGTCGAAACGAAATGAACGACTGTTCACAAGCATTCGGAGGCGATGGGTTAGAAACGATCGTTGTAGTTCAATGACAGTGGGATAAGGGGTTCAAGCTTGGACTTCATCATCAACTAAGGCTAACGTTTCTTGATTTCCAATCGACCGAAGGTGTTGTATGGAAGTTGATAAAATTTCCCACCTGGAACTATGCACACACACGCACTGCATGGATTCAACCTCTTCGTCAAATACTGGATACAGCCATAGCTTGGCCACTCACACACACATCTCAGCGACTCGCGGAGTTGCCTTAATTTCCCAATGGAGACTTTGTCCTGTCAGTGAAGTCAATCTGTGTTGAGAAGTCGAAAAGCATCGTGAAACTGTTTTATCGGGAATGGTCAATAGTGCATATCTCTCGAATTTTCTGGGCGATTCGAATCCGCCACCTCCCGGCTAGTGTTTTGAGCACTTAACCGTTTGGCCAAGAGAGGTTGATCAGCACCCAATCCGTCGATCACGGATTTCACACCACGTGACTGGCACTGGTAGACCCAGTCGTCGTATGAATTATTCTTCCAACTGATTAAGTTACAGTCTATGAGTAGTAGGGAGATTTTGAGATCCGTTTCAGATGCGAATTGCTTGTCAAGTGCTCGTAGTGTGTGCAAATAGATCAACCGTCCGTTTGCTGAGCTTGTGGCGAATCTATCAGAATAAATTGTATTTCGAAATTATCAGCACCAAAGCGGTCTCTGTATTCGAAATCTGGTAGTGACTTCCTCGAAGGGCTCTTTTCGCACAACCACGTGAAGGGTGGAAAAGAGCCAGAGGCGGTCAAACAATGACTTGGCAGCGAAGTATGAAAGCAATTACCAGCAAACTCAGCTGCGCTGGTCACTGCCGTCTTCCTGGATGGGGACCCCGAGACGGGCCACATCAATGGCTAGAGACGTTGTCAGATATGGCCCAGTCGCGCCCTCAATGGCGCTCGTGCATCCAAGCTATTGCCTTCAATGCATAGCTCCTTTTCCAACACCCCTCACTTGACAGCCCGCTGTACCTATCCCCCCCCCAAAACATCGGTGAACGAAACTGCGGCAGCTACAACCACTGTGCGACGAGTACGCGGTTAATACAGCTGACAATGATGATGATGATGAGTGATTTCTTTCAGCATTCCGCCTGATCAACTAAATACCAATAAAGCAGTAGTCCGACTGCGTAGCCTAGTGTTTCTACTGTCTTGCCGCCACGAACGTAAGTTTGGCTGGACCTCACTCTGATACCGAAGGGCACATTGAAGACCGGGCCATTCATTCATTGATTTCCGACTTCGTTGGCGTCAGTGTTTCTTTTCTTGCGCCCGCATTTCCAAGAGTTTCAGTCGTTCTGCGCACAACCACACGTCCCTTATCGTCTTATGCCAGGTAGTCGTCAGTGCTGTCTCAGTGTGTGCTTTTGAGCGCTTTGTGAAGGCCAGAACAGCACGGTAGCGTTGGGGCTTTCAGCGAACACGTGATCGACGCCTGATGACGGCACGTTCCATGGGACTTTTGGCTAAACATTGCGCTCATGTGGTAGGTCCCGGCGGTAAAAAATAGTGCATTTTAGGGGAAATTTAATCAGTGGGTTTTTGTATAAAAGATCAGTGAAGAGGTTGGCTGGGGCCATCGACAATTCCCGCTTTCCAGCCCACCCGAATTCATTGCTCTCCCTGTTTGATGGCCCTCGCCCGGTAACGACTCTCTCTCCAATGCGGCCTCATCGTTGTGCATAATCGTAGGGCTGTATTTTATCCATAATGTGACCATGTTTCTGGCTCGAGACATTGAGGACTCTGTTGGAGTCAGAAGTATGAATGTGGTGTGATTTTACAAGATTTCAGGACTGTCGACTTGCAAACAATTTGTCAATCTTGCGATTGTCAGCTATGTCACTACAAGTGTTGCGAGCGTTGACACAGCCTGAACTGAATGAGAGGAATTGTATGAGGGCGGTTGTTTACTCGAGCCACGCGTTATTAAGCCATTTCGTGGGGACATTTTTCGGTTTTAGAAAAAAAACGACATAAAATTAGAGCATTCCGTCACTTACGACACTCGAGACGCCGTCACAGAAAACCGTGTGATTGTTTGGGCTACAGCAGTCCCACAGACAACTGTCGAATGCCATCCCAACCACACTCAGACGTAATTGTTTGGGCTACAGCAGTCCCACAGACAAGTGGCACCAAAAACACTCAGACGTAGGTGCTTGAGAAACAGCTGAATTTCAATTGGAACAGGTGACGATATGATAGATACGTAGGTGCTTGAGAAACAGCTGAATTTCGATTGGAACAGGTGACAATATGATAGACAAAAGATTTCCCATAGACGGATGTGAGGTGTATGGTTAAGTTGAGGTCTAGGATCACCGTCATGGTGCGGACTTTGGATGAGTGAAGACGAAATTAGCACAACTGATTTGGTGATGGCAACTATTCTGGTTCTCGGCGAACTGCAACCAACGGCCATTGGAAAGCTAGCCTGTTAGAGTTGCGACTGGGTCAGATTTTAGCGCTATTTGCAGTTGACATTCAATAGGCAGAAATCTTGAGTGCTTTCGTTGCAAGTGGGTGACAAATACATACAGCAAAGCTGTTGGTTAATTTAAGGGAAGGGATTTTTTTAACAAAAAGTGTCGAAAATAAGCCCAACAGCAAGCAACCATCTATAAAGTTCACAGGAAGAATAAATTCACCCACACCCGCATCTAGATTTAGCTGAGGGGTGGGCTTTCCCGATCGATTCTAATCGATCGGTCCCATGGCGTCTGTTTCACTGATTCAACTGAAGGGGAGGGAAATGTTTTTTGTCCCTCCAAGGGAGTAATCTCTCTTTAGGGGGTCCTCTTGTCGGAGTGGCCTCTGTTCGCTTCATCATTAACGATTTATCACAAACTCTACCGTTTTCTCGCACATTATGTGCACTCTCCTCGTCCTCCATGTTCTTTGTTTCCCAGGTATAACCCAGTACAAACACCGAACAACTGGATTGAATCGCCCCTGGTTCATGGTTGACTACAACTACTCCCGACACATTCCCACAGGCAAAGTTGTGGACGAAATTGTACTCAAGGTCAGTGACCGGTGTACCTTTTGTTCGTTTTCAACATGCAGTAATCCATTTAAGATCACTAGAGAACAAACTCCGCACAAGCCGATCGCCCAACGGTTTACCGTAGCCGCTAACTTCTGTATGTTGTCAAGAGACTAATGCATCTTACCAACTAAAGGCCTCTGTTTCATTCTCCGCTGCGTCGAGCTAGACACACCACTCACGGCCAAGTGAATGAGACTGTTGGGTATTTGATGTAGGTTGGGTACCCCTAGAACGCCATACCAACCGCTACACCGCGGTCCAGGCATTAGGGTGAATGGGTTTTATGGGACCGACCCTTTCCAGAAAAAGACCTTATGCTCCCACCACCGGTGGACCAGGCTTTTGAGTCAAAGGCTTCAATTATGGTGCTTCAACTGATCCCTCAACCTGCGTAACGCGGAAGTGTCATTTGCCCTCATAATTCTTTTTTCACTGTTGCACCTCGCCAGTTCCTTCTAAATTTACAAGCAAACGTTGCCCGCTTATTTAGTTGTTAGTTAGTTGACCAGCGCTTCAACAAATTCACGTGATAGCAGATTTCAAACTCCTGAACTTGTATCAAATCGGCAAACGGGCCATGCTCACTCAGACCTAATACTTTTTTAAAGTTGTATGTCTGAAATATACACAGGACTCCTGTTCGATCATGCGTCTTAAAGCACAGCGAACGAGCGTTTTCTTTATAGTTCACTCTTCTGGCGCTTGGTGGTTCTGAAGCGATGGTTCAGGGCATGTGAGTTGCACTCACTCCTTTGGATGAATACAATATGCAGTCGCCTATGAACCGTTCGTTCATAAATGAAGTTTGGTCCCACTCAACAAGAACTGTGCAGGTTTGGTATTAGCTTACACTCCAACAGACCGTGGTTCCTGTTATTCCGGATTTCATGCACTGATAATGTGGAGCGACCGTTCTTCAGTTGGGCGCTGAGTATCAGTCAACAGTGGTCAACTTTCATCAACTTGCCTTCGGTTCTATTAGTCGCTGGGCCTGTTGCAGTTTTTGGAGACAACGATGTACCCCATGAACTGTTTTTCTTTCTAAAAGCGATATTCGCTCATTCCCCGTGGATGCGTGAGGGCCTGCAATAGACTCTCACTTGAGTTCACCACATTCAGAGGTGTCGCGCAAGGCTGGTTTTGTTCCCTTTGCTAGGCAATCTCGTCATCAATATGACAGCGTCTCCCACATGTGAGGTCGAGATGCCGCTAAGATGTTCACTCACATAAATCGGGTACGGATGTAGCTCTTTTTGGAGATGACCCCGTCAAACTGCAACCAAAACAAAATAAAGAAATGAAAATTTACTAAAATGACTCCGCCACGTTTTGGTATTCGTTTAACATCTGCTAATCGTAAAGTGTCATTGTGAGACTAGATGGGATCGAACTCAAATCTCCTGCCCAAAGATGGGTCTACGGGGGTGATAAGCTAATTTGTTTCTCTGGATGGTCTAGCTAACGACGAAATGCCATCCGAATAGGGAAGGCTGGAGCGGCTTCTATCAACCTCCGATTTTTCGATTTTACAATCCTGCGATGAGTTTCACGGTGTCATGCGGCCTCAAACTAAGGTCCGTGGTTCGAACCCAACCTCTGCCTGTCTAGACTTGGGCAACCTGGCAATATCTGTCTTCGTGCTTCTCCCGGGTGGCATGGCAGCTAGGCACTGGAAGGGTGTTACAGCTGAACGAACGACTTGGATTGATGAGCTGGGGGATCTCGGGCAACTGGCTGGTTGCGAAGAGTGAAGGCCGCAAGCGGCACCTTCAGCTATGTTGAGGACCTCATGATAGGACGCATCAACGCTTAGAGACACCGGCCGACATGACCTAGTCTCACCCTTGCATGAAAGCTGTTGTCTTCAGGGAATGGCTACTCGCTCCCCCCCATCACACTTTCACCAATGAAAATGTCAACTGTTTATTTTGGGGTCATCGGTCTTTCGTCACTAAGATTGAAATGTTCACAATCCTACATTTCTTTTGGCCTTTATTTCTCCCATCCGTTTTCTCGCCGATTTTAGATAACACGCAACTGGTGGCGCACTCCTTTTCTGGCGCTTGTCGCTTCGGGTGAGGTCAAACGGTGGATTGTGGCCACGACGAGCATGAAGCCTGGTGATATCATCCGATCGCATGTGGACATCCCGCTGATTCCAGGTAACTTCGTCAGTTAGTTTGTTAACTAGCCACTAGCATCCTCTCTTCTCTAAGTCTTGGACCTTTGGGTAGGTTTGGAACTGTAAATTCCTAAGAGTGGACTGCATTGTGAAACTAAATCTTCAGGCTTTAGACAGGGTTCTATGAGAATTTAAATAGTCGTAACCCAGACGTCCTCCAATCAGCACACAATTACTTCTGTCACCCTGAATTAATTCGAATTCTGCTTTGTCGAAGATGTAGATGAAGTACGAAGTATTCAGCCACTGAACCGTTGGCCAATGAATTGAAAGATTGCAAATTTACTCAGGTTATAGAAAGAGATTTCTGTACTCTAAGGTTTCCTGTCCTCATGTGGGTGATGCTCCGGAAAGGTTTTCAGATCCCCCAATTGCGCACTTCGGAACCGTCGATAGTTACCATCATCATCATCATCATCGACAGCATGAACCAGTGTTCCATCGACAGCATGACACCAGTGTTCAACACCGATGCTTCACTGCTGTACAGTTACCATCACGTTTACTTGAACATTGCGATCCCGTAGGCCACATATACCAACATGGTCACGGACATTTCGCACGTAGACGCCATCTATATTGTGTGGCTGTACAATCTGAAAGCTGAGGTGTATCCCTTGGATTTTCCCCCATCCGACAAACAGCACAACATTGTAGACTGGGCCGCTTATCTCTACACTAAGTCGGTATGTGTTAGCACAGAAGTCAAAGACACTGAACAGTCTGGCCACAATAAATAACAAACCATTGATATGAATGCAATTCTTGGTGTAATCAGTTGCTGAATCACAATCTAACCACTAATGAATAGCCAAATCGTTTTACACACCTACTCCTCACTCCTGGTGGGCTGTCGTTCTGCAATTTCACTGAGAAATGTGGTAGCTTGTCAAGTCCGGTCAGTAGGTGCTTGATTCACAGGGTAACTGTCTGAAATTTAACCAACGGGTCACGTGACAGATCTGTGTGCGACCACCCAAGGACGACCTGCCTTGTGGGACTGAGGTTTTCGAGATCCAACTACATATTTGCCGTGAATACTTCGGTTTCCTTAGTGTTTGAACCCTGTGGCTACTGTAAACCGCTGTTGTGAGTAACATTCAGCTGAAGAACGCTATGGGCTAGAATATAGCAGACGCTGTTTGAAATCTTCCATTCACTTGTTTATACCGTGAATCCCAGTCAATTTTTCTATAGTGTTTATGTTTTCTAAGAAAGCTGGGAAATAGGCAATTTACGACCGAGTTTAATGGCGTTCTCTGCTGTGTTCTAGGAAATATTTGAAAACCCCTTTAGAAGAATACAGAATGTAATACTGCGCCATTCCTCAAGTTCATTGCTTACTTGTGATGTGGTGATGTCGATCACAGTTTGGTCGTTGTGGCTTGGTACCTCAGTTTTGGTACGGTTTTTCGTCAATCACTTCAGCTGTACATTGCTTGCTTCTCCAACAATATACGCCAATTCAAGACCTTTAAATGAAATTTAAATGGGTGAAGGCAATTAGCGAACGGTTTTCAACTCTTCCCTAACAGTTTGAACAGCGTCATACCATCAATTCAACCCCCGTTTTGTCACATTTACTTCCCAGTTAGTCCTCGCGAAGGGGACGCATACCCGGTGGGCGCTCTTCCCGTCGGAACGAGTGTGTGCTTGGTCGAGCTCTATCCCGGTGAAGGTGCTATTCGGTGTCGAGCAGCTGGGACGAGTGCATCGGTGGTTCGTCGAGGCAAACATGTCGGCGACCCCGACTGTCCACGTCCGGACACACTGTCGGACGTGACGGAGGAACACGTTGTCTTGCTGCGGGACAATGGCACTCGGAAACTCATGCGCCTCCTGCCTGAGTGCATGGTTGTCGTGGGTCAGGTGTCGAACAACGAACACAGTAAAGAGAAGTGAGATCGCCTTCTGTTTAGTACAACCTACTTTAATTATCATGATTACTAAGCCGTTAGCACAGCTTTTTGAACTTGGTGTCCATTTACCGACGTGTTACAAGGACGGACGAATTAAGGAACATCCAATCTATTTTGCTCTTTAAACTCCAAAGTTGGCCAATTTTCCAATTGCTGTCAAATGTTGAAAACTATATTATTTCGTCACGTTAACTATTTGCTAGCATGCACTAGTGATTTATTGGTCCCACGTATTCTGTATTTGAGATAGGCTAGTGATTAAGGCGCTAAACTGTCGGTCGTATGGTCCGTGTGTTGAAACCAAGGCTGGCTTCTGGCTTGCTCCAGCGTGGGCAGGGGCACCATCCAAGCCCACATGCACCCTTTGGGCTGCATGGCAGCTATGTGCCAGAAGGGTACCACACTCGGGCGATTCGTTGACACGATCTCTGGACTAATAACCACAAGCCTGTGCACATCAACTCGATCAATCTAGAGCTTTTCCACGTGCTCCTTAACCCCATACTCTTTACACTGTTTGCACTGGGGTGCACGCCGACTTCCATCACCTCAGGCACCAGAGATTGTGATGCAAGTCTCAGTTCCCACGTCAGAACTTCGTGCTTGATTGAACTTCTTCCCTGCTGTACCCACTTGTTTTTCGCGGTCGCCTGATTTTTGTCTTAGGTACAATTTTTGTACAGTAATTAGACTTGGGGCACAGTGCGTGGTTTCTGCAAATGAGAAGCAAACTTCTAATGACCATCTGTGAGAGAGAACGCGTAGAAAACAAAATTTTATCACAATTTTCTCGGTTCTTAAAATCCATATGGCAGACATCCGATAAAGTCAACAATAGGCGAAGTGTATGAGCTAGCCAAGACTCTTGGCTGGTATTTTGAAACTAAGCACCAGGAAACCAACCACATGCATTAGCATCCGGTTCGATTTTGCCAACAAAGTTGTGGAATTTCTGAGGTAACTGAAATTGGTGCGTATTTCGATGTAGATTTGGAGTATACGAGTTGGACGCTTTGTTAGTTGCCAGACTTCCGACATAAGTATACACAACACTGCAAGTATGGACACAACTCTCAAACATTCAAACGGTCGATGGTGTTTATTGGTATTTTGTAGCCACCTTGTAAGTAGTGTTCTGTCACGATGCACTATTTTTGTCCCAGTGTTCCACTCCTCGGAACAAGGCCTAGTAGTACTGAGGTTTTGAGTGTACTCGGCCCCGGCTAGAATGCAAATGAATCAATTTGAGCAGCGAATTTGGCTACGATGTTCGCCCAAAGAATTTTGTGAACAAACACTACAATGTTGGTTGTACGGCAACGAGGGTTGAACACTGTCATGCTGTCCATTGTGATGATGACACTGATGACCTAACAAGGGCAGCGATTTATACTGGTATCTTTATACTTTGAAATCCCATATTGGGTGTCCTTAAGAGAGGGCACTTTGTTCGAAACTCGACAAATCTTCCGACCAGCTCAGTTTGTCCGACGAATTGTTTACGTCAAAAACGAAACGCCACACTATACTGAATTCACTGAGTGTTTTCCAGACCCTTCTGAAACGCCTGAGCATCCGTTTTTTTTTCAAACACAATGAAACAGTTGTACTAACCGGACTTTCACTCAGAATTCAAATCCCAGGTTAAGACCTGGACGATTAGATTTGGTTTTTGCACCAGCTGTAAACATGCGGCGAGTAATTTTGGCATCATTGGCGATATTTTCCATGACGCGACAACACTATATTTTGTCGGGTTCTCAAGAGGAACACGAACCTATATACTCAGAAAGTGTTCGTACGCACACTGAAATTTCCATTGCTGATCAATCTGGTCGGCACTTCTAATCACACACTATTTTATGTTTGCTTTACCTGTACGTATTGTTTAGTTTCGGATTTATAATCCTTACAGTGACCAAAGGTCATCGCAGATAGCAGTAGTTCTGTTTCTTTCCTCACGATAATATTATATCAAGACTGTCCCCTCCAACCTACGTGTTGATTTGTGCACGGAGATTGGCAATCTGGAAAATTCAAATGCTTGTTGTGCCATTCTAAGAAAAAGTTTTTTTTTAATTTTTAGCTATGTTAATTATGGATGGGGTGAAACTGTACAGATGTGGGGCAGTTCCATCGGCAACCATAAAAATACTGTTGGTAGTGTGTAATGTGGCAAATGACTTTATTCCTGCTCACCTGCTTATTTATTAGCGTTCTGTTACCAACTTCTCTGTTCCCGACTACAGATACAGGAAATTCGGTGAAAAGTACTGGCACGGCATCAAGCAACGAAGTGGTTTGTGGCAACGAAAAACCGGTCGTTTTGGACGCAAAATTCGCCCGATTGGACCCCCGTTGGATTTCGTTAGTCCGGAAGTTTCAGCGAGCGAAATGATTCTGAAGGTCACCAAACCAGGAACTCCGCTCCACAATAGGGAAAACGAGCGCGACCTGTATGCCCAGATGAATCCGGGCAAACAAAAACCATTCCAACCGACACCGAAGGCGTACAATGGATTGCCGGATAACCAACCACGATTTTGTTGGTCATCGTGGACATCCGTTCGGTAAACTTATGGGCTAGACTCGATACACAATTGTCTCAAATATAACTGATCCTCCCAGTCTAATTTATCTTATGATTTCCTCCATGAAATGGGGACAGCCTTGAAATAAGTGGACTGAGTCGAGCGATGTTTATCTGATAAACGTGATGAGCTTGAGCCTCGTATATCAAGCGCGACTACAGCCGTCATACAATTAAACGTCTATTATCTTTCATGATCGCTGTTCCACCAGGTTTCACTCTATATCCCATTTGTCCGCTCACACTGGTAACATAATTGGCTCAGTGCGCACGAGTCTAACGGCTGAACATGTATTCAGCCTCACGTCAGTTTGCACCTTGGGAAGTTCATTTTACCACATTTCTTAAGTCAATAGCTGCTCAGCTGTTTCGTTCGTTTTACAAGCCAAGGGTATGCCGTACACCGGAAAACAAAACACCAATCGACAGGTTGCCATCACAATCACCCCCTGTTCGGTCTTTCAAGTGTTTCATGAGGAGTACTTTTCCATCGAAATAGCCCAGGGAGAGGATTGTCTTAGGGTAGAGGTGAATTACAGGAATGCAAATATATAGTTTCCGTGCACGACCACATGGTTACCAAAACAATGAACTGCTTACAAAGGTTAACGTGAAACTGTTTTATTGAACGGTACAGCCGGCAAAATAATATCAAAACCACGCATGCACCAGATCAACTTGAATATCCACTGTGTTTTGTTTATGCCGTTTGTACATTCGGGGAATATCGAAGCGAAGCTCCGCGACAACTTTGGCTTTGGCTCCAGTGGCTTCCGCAGTCCTTAGCACGTGCTGCGGAGAACAAAGTGAACCAAACGACAACTAAAGTTAGCTAGGCAAGGCATCAGTAATTGGGATGTGTTTCAAATCATGGTATCAGTAAATGTAGTAATAATAAGAATGATCGTTCAGCCGCAACACCTTTCGGTGCCTAGCTGCCATGCACCCGAAGGAAGCATGAGGGCCGAGATACTGCCACGTCGCCCAAGCCTAGACAGGAGCAGCCGAGATGCAGAGGTTGGTTTGGGGCATAACCTTCAGGTCAGTAAATCCACGCTCTAATCACTGAACCACCTCGAGGTCCGTATCAGCAGAGATTTTTCGAAAAAAAAATCAAGTGGAACAGTACGGAAAATCGACATAGCCCAGTGTGTCAACCTCTTCGCGCTACTGGCCGTCACTGCAGCAGCAAGGTGAATTTGGACACCGGCTGTCGGGCCGAAAACAGATGATGTAACGTCCTGGTGTACCCTGCAGTCGCCGATATTTTGCCAGAACAAAGGTAGTTTTGAGTGCCATCCGAAAGAATTACGAAGACTGTCAGGACTCCCAGGCCCAGACGGAAGTAGTCAAGATTGAGAGGTTAGGGTCAAACCAAGGAACTTCTGGCTAGTAAGTTCGCACCTTAATCACAGCTATCGCGAGCTCTGATGTGTCGTACATTCCGGTGATCTCGACGCTCCAGAACTTCCAAGGAATTGCTTTATCACGAGGTAGTGCATTCATCGAACAGCGCACTTACAAAGCCTCTTAGCACTCAGATGTACAAGGAGCACGTCGTCAGTTTCAGCCGGATTCGACTTGTTTGGAACCACCGATTGAATCCTCATGACGTCCGATTAGTTTTCTGTTCTATTTGTTTCAACATTCCTGAAGAAATTCGTAAGCGTTTAGCCTTCACTCTGGTTTGTGAAGAATATACCATCATGCGACAGCCAACGAAACTCAGTCAGAGTTGACTGAAGCTGTTATTGTTCAGTACTGTACAAACGAATGTAAAAATCATCCTGGTGCATCATCTGGAAAACTTTCCAGAGAGCTCTATCTCAGTGGGCCCACTCGATTATTCCAAGGCTGTCTCATCCATCGTCATAAACCCTGAACCTAATGGCCTGGGAACAGTTCGGACGAGGTCACGGAAGTTCCACATTAGAACGGTTTTTGGGATCAACATTGTCAGCAACGAAAGTGCGATGACCATATAACAGTGATGCAAATGTATACTACGGGTTTACATATGACCGTTGTAGGCGCTCTGGAATGCGTTAGGATTCGACGAGTGACACAACACGACTTCCATTAGCTGTGGATATTTTGAGGTGTCATTTTGTGGACCATATTCTGCCAAGATAGTATCAAACAATGAAATTGGATCGTCGAACGTTCTCTCTTTTGGGGTACGTCTCTAACGAAATGCACTATGGATTCGTGAGCATGCACACAGTCTGTTTAAGATTGGCCAAATTAAGCACAAAACATTAGTTGGAGGACTTCCAGTAGGGTTCTGACATCTTCAGTGTATCACCCCAAATTTTCCGTAAAAAACGCAAAAATATCCTTTATCGATTGCACGACATGCATAACGTCCGATTTACGATTGGTGTCATTTCAATCCGTTATGGGTGCGCGATCGGCTGATTCAAATCACATTTAATAAGTAATATTTTCACTGGATATTCAGTCTCGGGATTTACATCACGTCACGTTTTGACTGGCTCCTCGAGTGATGATTTCTGAGACGGAAAGTTCACACGAGGTGCGAACTACTCCTCCACCAGACTATTTGTAATTTGATGATAGCATGAGATTTAGAAATTTGGTGCACTTCGCACGTTGTGAGCCTTCCATCTCAGAAGGCAATCAACAAGCGACCTCCTGAAGTGATTTTCTTGACTGAAGACTGAGTGACACTATATCCTATTCAAATACGAGCTAATCAAACTGCTTACCAGTTGCTCGTTACCGCACGGTTTACTCTTTAACTACCGGCCAGGAGGTTGCGGGTTCCACTCTTACCGGAGATCCAAGAGATGTACACTGCAAATGATTCACAATGAGAATGAAACAGCTGGACTGCGCTTCCCGGCCCATGCTACCTTCACTGATAGGATAATACCATTGAAAATCCCCAAGTGGCGGCGCTACGGTCACTCGTTTCCAGTGCCAATGACCTGGAACCTGGAACCAGCGCCTATGGGTGTGTTGCTATAGCGTCAGCAAACCTTCATAGCTGTGCCATTTTATCAGGCTGTCGCACGAACGACATGAGGACGTCACCTGCAGTAGAAGGACTGGCATAGAAGTGGAAGGAGCTTTGGGGTTACCATCACAGTCGGGCGAAACCAAAATACAGGGACTATAGCACCCAGGATATAGGTGCTCCACTCGCCACGCTGAAAAAAACTGGACTGGTGAGCGTGCTAATTCTCGCTTAAGTGTCAGGGCATTAGTTCCCAAGTTTGGCCGATCGCGTCGGTGAGTCGAAATGTCAAAGAACGGTAGGGGTAACTGTGGTAGTTCGAAGACGCGGTTTGCTTGGACTGCGTGGGAGGAGCATACCGACTGGCAGTCGGAAACTGGCCCGATCAATACTTCGATTCAGCCAAACTATAACCGGATGAGGATGCTATAGACCGGTGGTGGATCTGGTCTAATGAAAACTGATTCAGTTCGCAATAGTCCTCTCCGCAAAACGAATTAGTGGCGTTCCGGTCTGTTAGATTGATTCCCCCAAAATGCAACTGTCCTCCTTCTGTACACCGTTTTGTTTGCTCCGTGCGTTTATTTAAGCGTATTAACCTATTGCCTCGGTTACTATAAAGAGCCCGTCACATGAACTGCTACACTTATCCTCTACAATTCGTTATAGTTTTTTGTACGTTCATCTCTACACTGGACCTGAATTGAATCGCTCCTGGGACCTGTCGTTCGTACTGCTCCATACCCTTCCTGTTGTCTGAATCAACACTGATTTCCTCGTTGCTCAATAGATCAATGCCCCTGATGGCATCTTGCATCAAAACAAAATCCAATACCCAGCTCCAGAACAAGAAAATAATCTTCCGAGTACTTTGATGGCTTTGATAAACAGGGAATACAAACAATTTTGGGGATCGTGCGTACCCATCGCTAGAGGTGACGTCTGTTGTCCCTCCATTTTCGCATCAAATGAAAAAGTGACTCTTTGAGTACTTCCTTCCCACTGGCTATCTTGTTCTGTCGGCGACGAAGACATTCTTCGCTCTCACATTTGACTAATACTGAAATAATTTTGAGGGATTCCTCAACTTTTTCATAAAGGAAACTACCCACAAGGTTGCTAAAAACTCTTCGACAGCCCACGACCGGTTTCACCCTTCTTGGAGCTTATCAGGTAGGCGCAGTCCCCGAGTTTCCGTCAACTTTATGTTCTACTTGAACCCAAATTGGACTGTTTTCGGGCCCCAAGAAGGGCGAAACCGGTCGTGAGCTGTCGAAGAGTTTTCAGCAATCTTGTGAGTAGTTTCCTTTATGAAAATATACTGCGATATCTCGAACATCGTGCCAACTGGAACATGAGGCGGCCTGTGTGCAGCACATCCAGTTGTAGAATATCATAAACGAGATATTCAGTTGAGTCTCTCGTGAAAACCAAATTGATTTGCAAATGAGTTCAACTTTGTTTGTTTCACCGGTTTTAGAAGGCGTTAGGAGCTCACTCTTGGCCGCCTTCTCTTGAGACACAGAGGCTTAATTATAGGGTTGAGCACGGGCTCCCACTACTGGTGTATTGCTGTCTATCATGACATGATGATAGTGATGATCAGAAAATCATAGGAATAGAATAGTCCAGACTGGTATTCCGGCTCGTATCAAAACAGATACAAAACGCCACGAAAGGTAGGATTGTTAGTACAGACAACTATGACCATAGATGCGATCCGAGTTACCACTCTAGAGTGTCACAGAAATACAAGTCTGGAAACTCAGAACTACACTTCAGCCACGTCAATCTCAAAACCCACATCATATGAGGTTATTACAAGACACTAGTCGCGTAGGAGCGTAGATAGCGGCTGAAATCGCCCCAGAAGCACTCAACGCAACTGCATGTATACACCAATAGTTGACGGCCTATGTGCATTTGTTTGGGGAAACGTGAACATGCTATCCAAACGTACGATGAAGCGTGGACTTCGTCAAGCAGCCCGAGCATGCTCAGTCACCCAGATGGATTCAGATACCAAGAAAAGCCGTTCTGTCGGACGACGACTAACGCGGTCCACATTCAACATAACCCACGACCCCGCTCCTAATGTTTTTGATAGGATATTAATAATCATTCAACTGTAGCACCCTTTCCGTCTGAAGGAGACAAGGGGGCTGAGATATTGCCAGGTTTCCCAAGCCTAGATATGGGCAGTTGAGATGCAGAGGTTGGATTCCAACCATGACCGTTCCGAGCAGGAAGTTCTCAGCTAAACCACTGAGTCATCTTGAGATCAGTGGTTGCGTTTAAGGTCTAGGCGACAGCTAGAGCAAGCATGTAAAAAAACACCATAAACGCCAGCGGAATATCCATTTACACGGCTGTCCTCAAGGACGATACAAATGTTCGAATCAGTGAAACAACCACGTACGGTAGAACTCCTGTTCGGGCACCTGAAACCTTAACGAAGCAAAGATACATGGGTTTGCAGAAAAGAATCAAACCACACGATAAGTGAAACCTGGGTCAGGAATGCACCAGCAACGATAAATTTCCATCCTCAGTCTTCCGTACGGAGTCGTGTTATCCGATACCAAAGTTGCAGAAACACTTACCGATCGTGTGGTGGATTTGTGCAACGAATAGACGTGTGACTGAGCCATTGAGAGAGCGGCGTTCAGGAATTTCATATCAATGCCTTGAGGAGAACAAACACGTAATCAGCAATCACACATACCTGTGTTTGATGCAAGTGTCCCGAAAGGTGGATTAAGAATGACGGTATCGACTAGTTTGCGCCCGTCGTCTCTGCTCAAGCGAGTAACATCAGCCAACATGATATCAATGCAGCCGTGTTTCAGGTCATGTGCATCAAGGTTTTCGGACAAATCGTTCAAGGCGTCCGCATCGACATCCACAGCCAAAACATAGCTGAAAAATGTGACAATGAATTACAAATATACCATGGCTCACCTTGCACCCAGCAAGCAAGCACCAATTGAAAATACACCAGGACCGCAACCAAGGTCTGCAACAGACATCCCTTGAAGTGCGCCATCTACGGTCTGCATATTGAACAATATATCGGCTTGAAATGAATGATGACGTGTAGGCAACTTACTGGCTACCTGCGCAGAAGTGGGATACTGTTCCAGCTGAAGCTTGGGGTTACTAAATGTACCCACATCCTGCAGGTAACATTGGAGCTTTTTACGAGTCAAAATAGACGATGGCATTGCAATGGGTCAGCAACGGTGGCAATCATCAATCCATTACATGTTTTCATACTAAAAAGGCAAAAACGTGAGAACGAATCAAGCAACATGAAAGAGTGCAATCTCAAAAACTGGAGGGTCGTGTATGGATAAAAAAGCTCGGAAAACGCACAATCCCTATTTTTGACTGTTCAAACAACCCAGTGAGGTTGATCAGTCACCTGCTCATGGAGTATCAGATGGACGCAGTGCAAAGGGTCTTGCCCTAGGGTCTTCGCATATAGGTACTCCTGATTCCGGTGCAGGGCAAAAATGGAACGGTTGGTGTAAATATCTCTATTTCAAAGCATGTACAAACAATCATTCAGAGGCGAAAAGGGTGCTGTTGGCTGAGCAAGGGCTAATAATTTTAATGGAGTGTCCAAAGCAGCTTTTCTGGTTAATAGGATAGATGCGATTTGTACATCCCTTCTATTTTCAGTTCAAAACCCGAAGGTTCACACTAATATATCATCATCACATGCCTGTCGTTTCTCGACAGTGACCCAACAACTAACATGAATATTAGGCGCAGTTTCCCTTCCCAGAGTGAGTTGAACCTTGTCCTCCCAGTCGTGAACCAATAGCGCAGTATTTCGAACACGATAAGTCGGTATCACAGATCCTCTAGCCTAGTCTTAGAGGATGGTATCGATCGATCTGTACATGAGGAGTAACAAACCCACTGCTTACTGTTGTATCGTGGGTGGTCGCCTATTGGTTACGCCTGCACTGAGTCGGCCAGACTACTCGACAGGAAGAAAACAGAGAACTGCGGACACGGCTGTATTGTCAGGACAAAACATACAGAGCGTCTGCGTAATACATAGGATGACTAAGTGGCCAAATATGGTCGTTCACTTGTTCGCTCCGTACAGCCAATGGTGGTGTTCCGGTCGTGAACAATCTCAGGCCCACGACGCTGGTCGTATGTTGCTGAGCCGTGTTTGGTGAGAGCCGCCGAGTCACCTACTTTCCGATGATGACCTTGGGGATGCGTCACTCTGCAGATGTGCCTTTTTTCCTGTCCGGCGCGTCTTGACACCTAGTCATCATGCGTCAACACTGCTAAACTTGGTTTTCATCGAGGTCGAAGGTTATACTGTGCTACAACTGTTGAAGGCAAACCGTCGCTGACACTTGGAGTTTAGAGAGGACAGAGAAGTCATCGTTTCACAAGGTCTTGGTAAACTGCCCGTCAAAACGAGTTGTTGGCACTGACTGTATAATTTACCAGCAGTGCTTACATCCACGATTTCTGATCCACTGTGGTTCGCACCCGTTGTGTGTGGGCAACCCGGCTGAGCCTAGTGCAAAACAGAGCACGCTGTGCTGGCCTTCACCTACCTTAAGGTTCTCTTTACTCATTCAATGAAACCTAGTCGACTAGGCATTCAGTTATTCCTTTTAGTCCGAATTTCGGCTCAATCTGCCTCCGTGAGGTGTGTGTCGTTCATTGCACTGTCTGATCCTTTAGCTGTACGGATCTTTCGAAAGTGCACTTTAGTATTCCGTCTCATGCCGTGCTCCGAAACTCGAGTTTGGTTTGTACTTTCCGATATTATGCCTTATCAAGATCGGTTAGAATATGTCCGCCACCTTGGGGGCAGTAATAATAATGGCAGTGAGAAAACTTTTGGACCTGCCAGCTATAACCAATCCCTCCTGTTTCGAAACAGGTGCAATGAAGGAAACGAATGAGAGCATGGAACTACGGGACGAGGAGATACCCATCAGTGATTCCTCATTTTTGGGGGTATTTCAGTTCACCTTCTCCCTCAGGGTTACTAAACACCAGAAATCTCGGTCTCCCCCCAGAATGGCACGTGCTTCTCCGAGTTGCGAAGTAGGCACCAGCTAGCCATAATTGGAAGCATGTTTACTAGTGCTGCAGCTTCTGCGGTGCCACGAAACTGCCACCAGACCCTTTGACTATATCGCCGTTTTCATGCGAAACATTTGTTCAGATACCAATTGTTTTGTAACCTCAACGAGCGTCAGGTTTGCAATGAGATCCTTTCAAAGAGAACAGTCCAGTGCACTCGTATCGGGGTCATTCATTGTTCTGCCAAACTGTGCTATCTACACTCTATAAACTAAGCGCACGTTCTCCAAGTGATAAGAACCTTGCTGTCTGGAAATGTGCCGGAATGCTAGTAGCTCAGGGTGTGTTGACTGGTGGTTGAACAGATGACCGTTGAACTGTTCGCCGAGCTTGGCAATTAGCTTAGAAACGTTTCCCACCCCAGAGACTACATCATTATCACCCAACCACGCACTGATAAAGTCACGTCGATTAGTGGCGAAACGGTTGCAAGCTGACTGACAAATCCGGCGAACAGATCGATGTATACCTCATCAACCATCAACAATATTGTCTGTTTTCTAGTGCTAATGCGTTACACTTTAGGACCCCTGAAGCATCATTAACCGCTGGCAACTTTGCATCTCGTTTAAATGAAGCTGAGAAACACCAAGACTTAGAAATCACTCCCCCGTTTATAGACTATTAGCAAGGGGTAACGCTCTCAGCCTCGAGAGGAGTGAAACTGAAGGGGGGGGGGGGGGAGTCAACGGCAGATAAGGTGAAACTAACCGAGCTTTCGAAAAACAAGTACTACAGTGATCAGCCACCCGTGGCAGGAAAGCATTAGAAACCCGTTTCCAGAAGGCTGCGGTTTAAAGTGCTTTAGTGTGCTAAGCACCGTCGGTGATTCCCACACCGACCCGTTGGCCTTGCAACCACGTTCCCCAGAGCCATGTAAGCGACACAGCAGTTTCAGGAAATACCAGTGGAAATGCCTTTTGCCCCTGGTCATGGCTCACAAGTCGTTCATCACAGAAACGCTTGCGAAAAACCAGATGATATAACTCTTGTCGATTCAACTTCGTAGGACCTCAATCCGCTCAGAATAAAACCCCATTCATTTGTCTGTGTAACCGGACCGTTGAACAAGATTTAGTTTATAAACCGAGATCCCAACCTGAACAAAAGAGGGCCAACTATAGAATTGAGGGGCCAATAAACCAGAACCGCCTTGGAGTCTCATCAGCATAAGTCACAGCCTGAGACCTAGATAATTCAAGGATGGAGCTCAATCTAGTACCAAGAAATGGACCAGGGCCAGGAGAGAGCAAGCTCAAAGACCATCCCATCAGCATCACTAGCAATGACAGCAATACGTCACTGGTATAGACTACTGTATATCCATTGGGAATTTCATAGTAAAGAACGGAAATTTGGTTTGCCCTTGAGAAGCTATCACGAATAAGGCACCTGCATCTTTGGACGGCGGTCAAATAAACACACCAGAGAATGATGTTGGTATAAGGCGTAATCTGTAAGACTGACCCAGTGTTCCTAAAGTAAGATCGTTCCAACAAGTGCTTCAAAAACACGGTCCTTTAGCCTCGGCGATATTCGTTTGTGAAACCCCGAATGACGGAAGTCTGCGAACACTAGTTGTACCTTCATCATTCATGCATTTACTTCATTTATAGACTATTCATGGCCTATGCAATAGTCAGGATACTGTAGTCGACCAACACACCCAAGCGCTCCATTTATAGGTTAACTGGGGAAATTTGATGAAAGTTTGCAACAAACCGGGCGGAGGAAGGTGATCTGAATTAATCTGTATATTCCACAATGATCGGCGTTGATATCTGATGTTGGTGTGATTAATATAAAACTAAGGCTGATCAGCAATGGAGGGACACACTGTGTCTAAACCTAGCACTGTTGAGAAACAGGTGGTGATCGCCGAAAATTTACAAAAGATGTACATCAGTATCGCTGCTTTTCGCGTTCAGATTGAATATACCTCTCAGGTGACCATCTGGGCGAGATGGCCTAAGTAGTCAGAGCGCGAGTTTACTGACCGGAAGGTCCGTGGTTCGAATCCGACCTCCGCCTCTTGACTTCCCCTGTCTAGGCTTGGGCAACCTGGCAGTATCCCAGCCCTCGTGCTTCCTTCGGGTAGCATGGCAGCTAGGCACCGGAAGGGTGCTACGGCTGAACTCTTTCTTCTTTCTTTTCTTTCTCCATCTGGTGAACTCAGGTGTCATTGATTTGCATTGAAATCGGCTGTTATAACTTTACCCAAGCTTTTCGTTGTAGGCAAGCGCCTGGCCTCTGGAAGCTAGCCGTTCTAAATAACCGAACATCACATTTATTGCACGGAGGTCGCGGGCCGGCTACGGAAAAACGAAAGCATGATATCACTGCTCAATATGTTAATCAACCAGAACGGAGCACTTTTGCTTGGAGATCTGGTAGCATCGCGAAGATTCTAGCCCGATCTTGTGAAAAGTTCTGCAATAACTCTATGAATATGGTAGTCAGGACCTTCTTTTGTCTGCTTTACAGGCTGTCAAGAGTTTAATATCATACTGGGCGGAACAGCAAGCCAAGGACACAATAGTTGATCAGTTCTCAATACAAGTCTTTCAATGAATCAAAGCTACAGTCTGTTTGTGGATGAATTAGTATGAAAAAGGATCATTTAGCATTCCGACCAACGTGTGTTTGGTAGCACAGAGTCGGTTGATTACGTGTATCAAGTCGAGCAATGAACATTGCAAGCTATCTCAACAGATACGCTGTAGCAGCTACAGGATCACCCAAGTTCGCAAGCGATAGCGTCTAGATAGAGTGCCATAAGCCCAACAAGCGTACTTGCATCTTTCATTCGACATTCAGAGCTGCAGTAGTTGAGCGTCAATTATAGCATCCAAGCGCCAGCATTGAGTACTACTGGTGTGCTGCTATCAATAGTGATGGTGATGAACAGATACCAGTCGATACAGCGCCTAGAGTAGTTGCAAGAGGGGCTTGTAAGTCGTAATAAAAGAGCAACACAAGGACTGAATAGCATACGCAGAGCGGTGTTCGATGCGAGACCAACCCAACCTGGAGGACCAGGAGACTGTGTTGATCAGACTAGCCTGGTAGGAGGTCCTGTGGACACTGAATGGAAATCATCCAATACACCCCGTTGGGTTACTGAGGCGCGCACCACGCACGATAAGGTCATTGGTCAATCAGGACACAGTATAACGACCAATCAACAGAACTGCCTGACCAAGCAACCAATCATACCTGAAGGTCGGCTCTGGCCAGCCAAACCCTACCCCACACATCGCACTGAAACGCCGGTAGGCTACACCCTCCAACGTTGATGTGGTGACCGCACATTCGCAGTTAAATTTCCTAGCTTAGCAAACAAACCAACGACCATTACAAAACGACACTTATACAAATCTGACCGGCTGGCATGAAGACTCAGGTGATGACCACCAGAAAGGTTTAACATGCTGACGCACCAACATACATCTGCGACTGCAACAGCGCATCAAACAGCTATAGAAAGAAAGCGTTCAGCTGTAGCACCCTTCCGGTGCCTAGCTGCCATGCCACCCGGAGGAAGCACGAGGGCTGGGATACTGCCAGGCTGCCCAAGCCTAGACAGGAGAAGTCGAGTGGCGGAGGTCGGATTCGAACCACGGACCTTCCGGTCAGTAAATTCGCGCTCTAACCACTTGGGCCATCTCGCCCCCAAAAACAGCTATAGACCAGCGCATATTCATTAAACGAGGGAAGCCATCAGCACGGGTCATTACAAGTCTAAACTTCTACTGGGAAACCCCCACCGTCCGGGGTTCCGCTGCGTTTGCTGTGTGTGACTTACACGAAATACAGGAACACGAGTGTGTGTGAAAAGGGGCGCCATATTCAGTGTTCACCAGTCCACAACAGTCGTTGGGTGTACTTACGTTAAAGGCAGAAACCAACTTGCATATCCAATCAAAATGAGCATATAAAGCGTAGGAAGGATCATCAGCACCCAAAGGAGGGAATAAAATTGCCTTTGTCCTACGATTTCGGCCTCCAATACACAACCATCCCGAAACAGGGTCATAGGGTACACAAGCAAACAGCTGGTAAAAAATAAGGTTTAAGGTTGTGAGCAATACTTCTATCACGAAAGCTACAAATCAAGACTGAAGATCGAATATGTGAGATGGCGATGCAGTTATGGGGAAGGGACATCTCGTCTTGAATTGCAGCTGTCCTTCAAAAGACATGATGACGAGATGACCGGATTTTCTTTTGACACTCGTGCCAGTCTATAGGGCGCTAAAACATTTACAATGGGAGATTACGTCACGGGTCACTGACTGGGCGATATCACACAGTACGAAGGATTCTCTTTGAATGGGAGGTTGTATAAGTTTGACAAGGCAGAACGTCTGCCTTTTTCGGTTCACTTGTCGGAGACTCGAGTTTTCCGTACTGGGATTTCAGGTTGCTGTGGTTCGGATTTGCTGGATTCTGGGTCGGAGTTTGTGTAAAGAGAGGCACGAATACGCGAGAGAAGAAAACCTGGAGTGGTGTCAATAGCACGACGATCGCCTGGAGAATGAAGAGGGAAAACAATTGAACTTGGGCGTTAGAAGTAGACTCGGGGCTGAACGTCAGTAATGTAAGATGGTTAAAAACCAATGCACCGAAAACACATGGAAAACGCGCAAATACATGTGTAACTTGAAGATAAAGACCGTATTTGATTGAATGAATAATAGTGCTCTTGGATTGCATCCTGCATCATAGTTCTGTACAATTCTGTGCGGTGCAGTACCACCTAAGCAGATACTATTGCTTAACTGGATAATGGAGAAATCCGTCGTGAAACCACCACGAAACTCTTCCTGACGAAAAAGTGAGGGTCTCCACCCTTGACTACGCCGATAACAGTGCTCTGCTATACGATGGTTTGCTGTGTCAGCCATCCCACCAGTGTGTTGAATTCACTCCATCAAACCAAAAACATTTTCAGCCATACAATCGACACAAGAATCCACTTTGTTTAGGAAGTCCCAATGAGACCGTTGATGTATCGGGCCTCTTATTCCACCCAATAGCCAGGCCAAGAATGAAGAGAAAAGCCGTTACAAAAAGGACAGAAAGGTCTGTTTTCAACTGAAAAATGCTTCGTGGCGCAGAACGGAAGTCAATCTCAGGATCAATCTTTGAGTACACGGAGATGCTATTCGTCCCTGTCTACATAAAGGATTCACGAGCTGGCCACGAGAGTCGAAGGTGTTCGATAGCTTGAAGTGTCTTCGTTAAAACAAGTGACGCGACCGATTGCATTAACTTCTCTCCGAAACGACAACCCAATGCTCGAAAATTGACGCACGAGATCCCGCCCAAAACACGGACTATTCGAGGTCACGCGTCGCAAGACTTACAAGCCGATCGGAAGTGTGGTTTGCGATCCGTCCCAACAAGAAACTTCTACCCTTGGCGGATATGGCCTCCAGTTACTCAGGGTGCAGCCGATTGCTCAACGTCCTCGATGGCTCAATACTTTTTCTAAGCATTAGCCCAGACGCGAGTGGCACGTTCAATAACCCCGTCATTCTGCTGTAGGACTGCTCAGAAGCCCAAGGTACTGTCATCCATTGCCACAGTAAACATCTCTGACCTTCCGCAGTCTGAGCGTGAACTGTCGTCTCAGAATCTAAGCTTTGCTACGTCTGAAGGCTTCATATACCTCAATTCTCTACTCAAAGTCTTTGCTTGGACGGAATAAGTCGTAAACAGGCGTGTATACCTCTACCAAGCAAAAATTCGCTGTGGTACACAGTGACTGGTGCAGCCAGAAATTAAGCTTTAGTGGGGGGATCCCAAGAGGACGTGGATGCTATCGTGAACCAGGTGCCATATACTTCACTCCTTGGTCCTTAGTCGAACGGGATAAACGACCAAATGAAGCATCAACGAACCAGACCCAGATGGAAGCGAAGTTCGGACGCTTCATTACTGACCCCATGTCAACACATCTTCCGCAATGTTCAATTTCAGTTGGCGACTGGGTCAGGGGAAGCGAGATGGCTCAGACACGATCCAGATCCGGGTTAGAACCACAGATCGCATCTTATGAGCTTACTCTAACCTAGTTTTCATTTCTAGTTCAATAACGGTGTTATCAAACCGAACATCTTATCCGGTTAGGCGATTAAGCTGCTCCACAATAAATTCTTGATACCCAGGGACTGAACCCGACAACGGAAAATGGCTGAGAAGTTCACTGATGGAGTACATAGGATGATATTGGTCTCCATCAGGTTCTACTTGACCACCCAAAGTTACGTGGTGAGTCACACGGTGTTAGAAACTCAAATATCAAATGGTAAACGGCCATACCTATTTCCGCATAGTTCGTGCGGCTGCATCGTAAAGCCACTTCGCACCGTCCACGATCCGATTCAGAAAGCTATCACTCTGGTCAGTCGGGGCGTCATTTTGGCTATGCGCTGAACGATCAGATGAATCATCTGGTGTTGACGCCCGTCTCGAAGACGAATTGTGAGCATCACCTAGCAGAGCCTTTCGCAGTTTGTCCAAACCTGAAGTTTAGGGAGCAGGCAAGCGAGAGGCGTAAGTGATTTCACTCGTCGTGGGAACAATTCGAAGTGGGACTGTTGAAATCGCTTGTAGCAGCGAATAGGGGCTTTAGACTCCCACAAAACCAGCGACTTCAGCTGAGCAGCATGTTCAAAGTGAAACAGGCTGGGTCTTAGTTGCACCTGTAGACCTGAAGAAAAGAACTGCCGAATACATCCCTCATTACATGGCCACTCTCTCAATGTCTCCTATGCATCGCCCAAATCTCATTCCTTCTATCACAGACACAACAACAGTAAGTATGCAGTATCGTGACAGTAGATCGGCATCAGAAACGCGGTGTACGTTCTCCATCGTTTTCCCGTATTTCACACGGCCTCTTCTAACCAAAGTTATTGTGGTTTCGACCAATGGCTGTAACTCGGTGATACCGAACATCACTCACGAACCTAAGGAGGAGAAGTGCAGTTTTGTAACGTAAAAGAGACCTCAAGTGTAGGTCACCTAACAGGAAATAAAATAGTTCACGAAAGGCCTGGGGGGTCGTGTTGCCGGTGGGACCCACATTCCACGAAAGGAACTATGTGAACCTTCCCGTGCCTGACTGGAGACGCTGTGAAACAGATATCAAGGGCTATCTTGTCGTTGTCTAGCTAGATTCTCCGGGACACATTGAAATTTTTTTATGCCAACAACAGGCCCAGTGTCTTTCCTTCCTAAGGTTCTTCTTAACAGTGTTTTAATTGGGCACTTTCGTGGAGTCGTACGGCAGTGAGGCACAGGTGTTCTATGCTAATGTACTTGCTAGCAATCATTATCACGAGTAACGAAGATGATGTTCAGCTGATGAACGACGGCGGCAGAAATTCTGGCCTGCGTCTTGTAATCCAATTCACATTCGGATTAATTTCGCTTTAGTAACTTCCTTATACGACGATGGAACCTCACAAAAAAGCGAACAAACTGTCATTCTGTCATACAACCCAAAATCTAAATATATCAAACAAGCCCCGAGCAGTTCAGTTTAATATATCACGTTCAAACCAATTGCCAAGGGTGTGCTGTTACCGTTTCGACCCCCGAAAAACAGGAGAGCGTGGGATATACAGCCAACCATTTCCAATTAGTTCGGGAACTGTACAGTTGCATATTGAAGGCAATAGCTCTGAAGCATGAAGGCCAATGACTGCTAGTGCCATTAACCACCATTGAGTTGAGTATCAGGATCTTCATCCAAGGAGGCCATGGTTGACGCACCGGCTGAGTTTATTGATTAGTTTCCATACTTCGTTGCCAGGACATACACTTTCCGCCTCTCGGTAGCTTCCATTAGGGTACAGGGCCGGGCGAAAATAGCTCTGTGAGGCAGATAGTCCTCTGGCATGCGGAATACATGTACTAACCAGCGTAACCAGTGAAACGTGAGTAATTCATCAATCATGAGAGAGTTTCTGTTTCCTAAAACAATCTGACATACCCCACAATTGCTAGTCCAATGCTTCCAGTAGACACGGCCAATACTTCGGAGACACTGATGGCTAAACACTGACAGCTTTCGTACGTCATTTGAACATAGAGGACATGTTTCTGATCCATAAAATAGTGTGGATCGTACCGTCGAAATGTATACTCTGCGCTTGGGGTCACGCCGGCACCAGAGGTGTTGGAGATTGGAAAACGCTTTCATGGTCCTCCCGATACGAGAAATAATCTCGACTCGCCACTCGAGCCCATACAACTACCCAGGTCGATTGGCTGGTCTTCAAGGATTCGGGTTCGTGTTCGATCACTTCCAGCCTTATAGGAGATCCTTGCATTTTGCAGGTATGAGGCGCACACCAAACCGTGTGGCAAAATTATTTAGGTTGCATTCCAAGGGGATATGAACCAAGAAGAGTAATCCTACCCGCAAACTCAGTGGACCTGGAGCATTTCGACCTACGAGGTTTCACAGGCGTACAGAGAAGTTCCAAGCAGCACATCAGTAGGAAAGGTGAGGAGGAGTAGTGAGAGAGAGCAGCCTTGAAGATTTACTGACCGGAAGGTCCGTGGTTCGAACCTCCGCCTCCCGATCACTTCCAGCCTTATAGGAGATCCTTGCATTTTGCAGGTATGAGGCGCACACCAAACCGTGTGGCAAAATTATTTAGGTTGCATTCCAAGGGGATATGAACCAAGAAGAGTAATCCTACCCGCAAACTCAGTGGACCTGGAGCATTTCGACCTACGAGGTTTCACAGGCGTACAGAGAAGTTCCAAGCAGCACATCAGTAGGAAAGGTGAGGAGGAGTAGTGAGAGAGAGCAGCCTTGAAGATTTACTGACCGGAAGGTCCGTGGTTCGAACACGACCTCCGCCTCTCGACTTCCTCTATTTAGGCTTGGATAACTTGACAGTATCCTAACCCTCATGCTTCCTTGGGGTGGTATGGCATCTAGGCACCGAAAGGGTGTTACAGCTGGACAATTATTATTATATATTATTTAAATGGATTTAAGGAAAAGAAAAAGGATATACCTACAGAACTATGATGACTATCGACCATCCGCAACTGGTGAAAACTTTATCTAGTGTAAAGGATGGCTGAAAACGTGGACACTCCTTTGAAATACTGTCCGGCAATGGTGCCGCTCCATTAGATTGGGTAGTATTGACAGCATACGGAGAGGACAAATGATTTCATTGTTAGCCAGAGCTAAAAATCACAAGATGTTTATTTCATTTTCCAACCTTGTTATCAAGTACCTTCCGCCAAATATATCGGCCAAAAATCGGCCCCACAATAACAAAATAATATGGTTGGTGAAATTCGTAAGTATACCTAAATGATAGTGTTACCGGAGTCGATGGATATGAGGAATTTGAGGTGAGTCTCAATGTTTTTGCGAAGTTCATAGACGACGGATTCGTTTCGGATGTCAGCGAGAAAATATCTTTTGGGTGTTATCCGCTATCCCATGCTCTCTCCGTCAGGGTCATCTGAATAGATGAATCAAGCGTAGTCCATTCTACGACGGGCTCTGGCGTTGAAATGGACCAAACAGTGGTCCCTACAGCCAGAGACATTGCTTCACTAGACCCATGGGTCTACCTACACTGGAACGGTCCATCGACCCGTAGATACGAGGTGACTTTCGAAGACCGAACGAATCGCAGTGAAACATGGTTCGTCTGAATCTGAGCATCTGTGACGATGATAGCGGCCTGGATTTTGGTCTAAACGCACCGCTCCTAAAATTGAGCGTACGTCCCCGACGAAAATTCTCTACGGTCATGTGACAGCTCCGTTATCAATGCGATACTCCTAGTAGCATCTCATTATAGCACGATTCGAATCCTCCAGAACGCAGCAGCACGCGTCAAATCGAATTCCTAAAACGCTTGCGCATCATCATCAAGACAGTGTTCAATACCGATGCTTCACTGCCGCTTGCGCATCTCTTACCCAGGCATCTCCACGTTCACGTAACTTGGTTCTGCGAGCGAGAAACTCGGTTGTGCTTTCCACAAATTCCGCAACCAGTCTCCAGCAGAGTCACGCACCCCGAATTTTCACCACTTGTTTTATCTAACCCTTAACCTTGTGCTTACGGCCATATGGGTCGCTGATTCTAGCAACGCGGTCACTTTGAGCACGCTGTCGAATCCGCTCAAACCTGAGATGCACCAAGTAAACATTTACTCTTAACTGATGAGGACTGACATATTGGAGGATCTACAGAAAAACCTATCAGACTGGACGATTCGTCAAGTCCTCGTGATAGCCATGATAAGGCCAGTTGCAATGTATTTCCTGACTGATCTGTCACACCAGCCTACAGCGATGCTGTTGGCGCTGGACCGTGTGTGCATCAACCTTAATGCCCCGTGTACATTAGAGGGCGCAAGACCACGAGGAAGCAGTTCTAAAACCATTGGAATGTTAACTGGTACAACTAGCCAGTTGGGACCCAAGGTGCACTCAAAAGAGCATCTGGTGACCAGTACCGCTTAGGAGACGCATCCTAGGCACTCCTAACACTCCAATACGTTTGGAGTGCCTTGTAGATTGCTACAAGAAATATACACACAAACATTAAATCACAACAATACAGTAAAACATATAAAGTGAATGTTGGAAAGTAACGGGAAAAAATACGTTCAGTCTGGCAACAAACAAAACCAGAGCTATCTGTGGGAATCACGGCCCTCCGTTCAGGGTAACGTAAACACTCACTGTGTGCGCCTGTGTGTTACCTGATGGCCCTAGGCACATGTGGGCAGCTAGTGCTAACCACTATTCGGCTTGGTCTGTCTAAGGATGGTCACACATGTCACTTGTATAACCGTTGTGTACTTAACACTCAGGCGTATAAACGGCATTCAGTTGGAGCTTTGCTGATACAGATGAAACTTGCCTGAGCTGCTGTCCGCTTTCGACAGACTGGAAGCTGCTATACTGATCTGTGAATGTTTGCAAAAAGATCCGACAAGAGGCTTCGTCAAAGTCTGATCTCGTCCGCAGTGACTACTTCTATAGCGAGATGGGTTGTATAAACAGACCCGTGACTTTTCAGGGATGGCAATTCGATATAAAAAGCAACAGAATGTGAATTTGGAACGCAGCCAGTAAGCTCAAACTACGCCCTTTACTATGAAACTATCAGCCATAACTTTATACACTGGAAAAGGGCCAAAACGTTGATCTAAACACTAGGCTCAGTTACAAGGTACGACCTAGAAAGCACGTGGATTAAACACAAAGAGCTCAGATAGTCCATAGTGCGCGCTTTGATGAAGCCAAAATTGAACAATGGTCGTATAGGGTAGGGACAGCGATCAAGAAGTGATAATAGCAACCAGAACTTCGGGATGAAGTGCATAGAAAAACTACCTGATTCGGTTGACGTCACACCCTCTACTGTCCCAGAGACATCTTGTTCCGTTTCCGCATATGCCAAGAGAAGGGCGCGCTGGAGTTCGGTGAGCCTTCTGCAATAGAAAACGAAATATCTGATAAACCATGATGCGACAGATGAAGGAAATTTGTGGACTTAATATAACACTAGAAACCCGTTGAGTGAACGAGCGACTGGCTGTGGAAGCGAACCGAAGGAGAAATTTTTTAGCTTTGGTCAACCTGTTTTGCAGCAAGTCAAAGTTAAGTGGACGATGTCTATGATCACCACTTTACCCGGAAAAAGACGTAAACGACCGGTCGGCAGGTACAACTTCCGAACCCACGCACCACTTACTGACCGCTCCCACGAGGGCTTTGGAAAACTGGTAGGCGTTACGTTTGCACTGTTTGCGCAGAATTCATGTGCTAACTTGGTATCGTAATTGACTGTTTTGTTTTGAGGACTAAATGAATGTTCGGAACCCTGTTCAGCTACAAAAGTAATACTAAATTAATTTGGTGTCGGATCCCACAAATTCGTCGGCCAATGGATGAACGGATAGACGAGAATATCGTTTAAGATTGAGGACGATGGCCCAAACCTATTCAATGCAAATAAACTTGTCGAAGTGTCGCAAGGTGAAGATGCAGCAACAGGTGGGAACAGTTGTGGCTGCTAGATATGAAACCTGATGTCTGGAGTCCCAAGTCAAAGAAACGGTAGCTTCAAGAATGACTGAACTTGCTTTCCACAACCAGCGTTGGGTCATGATGTGTCCCAATGCAACATGGTTTAGGCATTTTGACCACCGTAACATGGTGTAACTAGCTTTGCTGTGGTGAACAACTTATGTTCCCCTGAAACGCGTCATTGATTCTGCAATAAACTTAACAATGTACCACAAACAGACGTTTGAAGCTTTTGTTTGTCTTCCACGCTATGTTTCTAGTTTGCTATATTACGGTGCATTACAGCCTACTTTACATCAGCGGCGAACTTGCTGCAGGTTAGCAGAGGCACTTCACTGGGACTCATTTAGGCCGCGCAGATAGATGAAGCACTCTACCACATTGATCCGCCTCAACTCGTCAGCATCACGTCCAATGGACGACTGCTGGGCGATCCGAGTTTGGACCAAATGCACTTGTGATCCAATTGGTCAAAACATCTAGTCACTCGACCTCTTCTCGCCTCATTAGAAAATCCTAAGCAAGACGCAGCAAAGTTCCTTCATAAATACAATGGTAACATTTTGAAACCATCCTAGTGTACTCTGTTTGAACACATGTTCCAATGGGTAGTACAGCAAATTTGGAATCTCCAAGAATAAGAGTGACGTTCGGTGCCATCCGTACATAGGCCAACTGTCTACACTATACACGGGTGCGAGGAAATGAAGCCCAGTTTTTGTCTGTGGTGACGACTGTTATGAAGGTATAAAACACAATCGATGTGGAGAAATAACTTGGTCTATTGCAAATACAGTGAAATCCTCAGTAAAGCAACTGAAATGTTCTTACATGTGGTGCATCCCTTCTAAAAGATTCTCGCGTGGACAGATCTACTTTATAAAAGACAGGCGGTAATAGACTGTTTATGGATCTACGGGGTGTTACAAACCAGAAACGCTTGTTTCATATAGGCTTCGGGCCACTGTTATCTACACTGGGCAGCATATCTATGTCATAATTTGTTGCATATAAAAGTTCGTCTTTTGCAAGCCTCGAAAAGTGATGGAGACAGATCATCCCATCGACCATGTCCGCTGCCATCGTCCGAGCACTCTCAAATAACTATACACTACTTACTACATCTAAGTAACTACATTAAACCCCGAAGTTATGGGGTGACTGTGCGTGTCGCGTTTCAGTTCACGCTTATCGCCATACCCCTGTTCAGCAACCATTATTCTTGTGTTTGGCTGAAGATACCGAAAAACACCCGGTTAACCGAAGTCTGGAGCGTCCATTCTTTTCCACCATTCTTCCCATTATAAGGTCTTTTTTAAATAAATTAATACGGATAAACGGCAGTGAAGCCGCTGGATTGGCGGTGAACTGAGAGGAAGCTCTGATATCAACACCACTAATCGCAAAAACAGTGTCGAACGCTGATACTTTACTGTCGTACAAATCTGTGCCCCTAAAAGCGGACAGGATGGACGATCGCAGCGTCGATAACGTTCAGCGAAGCAGCGTATGTCTTCGCAGCTGCACTTGGAACCACCGAATTACAACAATCCACCAATAAACTACGACTGACAGTAGGATTCGTTCGCTACTCGTAAAAGTCTGGCCAAACGAACTTGACCAATTCGTGTCCTTTACTTCCGGTGTCCACTGCGCGATCAATTCGTTAATCTTTCCAGAAGAGTACCGGAAAATGTCTTAGTAGTAGCCCTTGGGAGTAATTCTCCGTATCCAATAGAAGCAACCAGACATGCATCTGAAAAGGTCAAATTCAGGTTGAGGCAGGATCGCGCGATACTCTAATTAGCTGAATGTGAGTACTCATCTCAGAAATGACTCTCACTGAGCAGACCTATGAATGGCCGAAGTTAGGCTTCTATTGGTTTAGTAGGATGCCAAGCAGAAATGAAGACCGCAAGTATCCGATGCACCTCCATCAATAACAGAGTAAATCGGTGGTTCAAGGGAGTACAATAATCAGGGCGCAAGCTGTAAGCCGAGCCAGTGCTGGATTCGGAACCCAAACACCCCAGTCCAATGTAGGTTGAGTTTGATTGTGACCACCAGTCAGTAGTTTGCAAGGGAGTACAATAATCAGGGCGCAAGCTCTAAGTCGAGCCAGGGCTGGATTCGGAACCCAAACATCCCAGTCCAATGTAGGTTGAGTTCGACTGTGACCACCAGTCAGTAGTTTAAAAAAATGGACTTACTTGGGGGGTTGAATTTTGATATGGAGGTAATGATCACCGTAGCCGTAGCCATTGACTCGACTAATTCCTTTGCCAGGAAGACGTATTCGGTCGCCACTCGCGGAGCCGGGAGGAATCTAGAAGTGTGAAGTGAACATTACAGGTAAGAGAATCCAGGGCTGTAAAAGATCAGCAGTTCGGGAATGGCTGTCTGACGTTTCAACAATAAACGAGAATGATGTTTCCGGATAAGACAGGTCTAACATACTTCGAATACGAAGAACCTTTCCCAGAAAGTGCACTTAAGTGTCGTTCAGTGGTTCTTCCACCTTGGGAAAATTTATTCTCCAATCTACATAATTATTGTGATGAACTGGTACTTTTTAAAGGAGATGGTCTGCCCTGATGGTGGAACCGAACATCCGTTAGCTGTTCTTGATTGCCTGCTTTGCAGACGGGAGTATGCGAATCGCAACTGGCCTCCAGTCAGAGGTTAACCACGATATGAGACATGCTAAAAGTAGCGGGAAGCTTGACTCTTTGACTAGAGGTAACTCCTGCAGCGAACCTTGTTTGACTGTAAAATGAAAGATTCGGAGGGATCAGTTCCCTCGAGGAAACTCATGTGACATGAAACCGAAAGTAAGTTTGCCTGATACAGCTCGTGGCCAAGAGTACAGCCAACCAATCCGGCAAGTTGGATAAATTCCGAAATCAGACTGAATGCAAACATGATGAGTAAAGCTTCATCAAACTTCTTACCCTGACATGAAATTCATGGATGTCTGCGGTATGTCGGCGCTAGATCTCCGACATCTTTCCCTCTTTTTTATATCATGTCTTCATCGGAACAAAGTACAGTGACCTCCATTGACAGTGGCCATCAAGGGGAAAGAGGACATTGTACTCGGTCTGTCCAACAACCTTTTTTGCAGCGATTCTCGCACTACTAGGGCGCTCAAACACCAATGTACTCGTCCTTCAAGTACCACCTGTCCAATAGAGCTCAGTTAGGTTTATCTTTTCATGAACATACTACATAGGGAGTACTGTAAGTGGCCTTTAATGAGACACTCCCTCTTAATAATAGTACCACGAACTAGGTGTTGTTTGACTGCGAGCACCATTGTGAAGTACCCAGGAGAGTGACCTCTGTTCTCAAAGAACTGTTTGTAAGCACTAGAAACGCTATCTAAAATCGTGGTGAAAACGAAAAAGGTCTACAACTAGCAGCTAAATCGTCAAGCAAGTGGACTTACGGAGATCAACATCGTTTCATAAATACCAGGTACTCGCATCTTCCCGCCCAGTGCAGCTTGTGCCAAGGAAATGACTACGTCTGAATGTATGTCGGCGCCTTCTCGCCTGAATTGTCGACTGCGTTCGACGCGAATCTGGACAAAGATCTCCTGGGACTCGCCGCGGGGGGCACTGACAGATACTCGGAGCACCTGCCCGTCTTCAACGCCTGGAGAAACAAAAAGTGAGGTGTAGTCAACTTGGACGGTACCTATATTACCCCATATTATATTACCCTATATATTACCATTAGAAAATCTAGCTGATTCGCGTCCCGTATAAAGGCTGTGGAACCTGGCTGCTTAATATGTAGGCAGAAAGACGGACTCGGAAGCTTTTCTCTTACCTGGTGGTTCTCAGGAGCCGGTATTAAAGCCGAATGATTTAAAGACTATCCCACAAGCCTTCCTAACAGAACCGTTTGTAACACAGACTCAGTATCGAACATCCCGAGGGAAATTGTATGCTAATGCAGGAGTCATAGGTAAACAGGCCAGAGTTTTTGAGGCGACTGAAGCTATTAGAAGTGTGATACTATGAGAAGTGGTTAAACCATGAGCTCCGCCGCGATTTGAAGATTAGAGTTGGAGCGCGCCACGCGAACGGCGTATCGACCGTTGCGAGCGGTCGGTATCTTCTAGTTTCTCACGTATTCACTCCATCACCGTAAGAGAGTGGAGAGGAACAGCAAAGCTCGAAAAGATATAATGTGAGACAGACATACAGTTAACAAGAGAAGTGACACTAACAGCGACCATCTCACTAGTCTGCCTCCTGAAGATATCGCAGTCGTTACACAATGTGTTCTGTGTGAGGGAGCCAGATCCTACTATCTATTGCGACAAGTGTACGACAGGGGAAGATTACAAAGCGCGTTTTTCTAACGAAATGCAGTCTAATACACTCATTTACATACAAATTTGTTTTGCGGGAGACAGGGGAAGATTACAAAGCGCGTTTTTCTAACGAAATGCAGTCTAATACACTCATTTACATACAAATTTGGTTTTGCGGGAGACTTACCTGGAACCCAGCAGAATCTCTCGTTTATTATGCTCTCAGCAACCTTATGAGTAGTGTATTACGTCTAGACATGCGGTCTAATTCAACCGGCCTGCATGTATGCTGGCTTAATTTGCAGCGATTATTTTGCATCCCACAGCACCGTTAAACGCTGTGTCGTAGTTCGGACAAATAATGAAATAGCCTCAAGTTCATGTTCCAGTGCTTAGGGAGCGCTGGAGTGCCGCTTGTAGAAGCAGCTACCAACCACGAATACGAGCATCTGAAATGAATGTCCAATTCGGGAATGTTGTCCTGTATATCTCAGGTGGGTAGCTGGATTTCACGTAGCTTTTATGCAATGATCTGGTATACACGTACGGATCTCCGTATAGTCAGTTAGAAAAATAACGATAAAGGGGTAGGTGACTGGAAAGTTAGTCCGGCCACTAGTCGAGATATGCATCACAAACATGGGCAGGCACACAGGTCAACATTTCACATCCGTTAGATACAAGTAGGGGTAAGTCATGGACATCTTGTTTTATCGTAATACGTCCTGTTGGTGTTTACTGATTACGAGATTAGGATTTAAGATCGTTCAGAGGGCTTTTTAAAACCATATGCTGTCAACGGTGATCGGAAAGAATAGGGAAGATGAATAAACTCTCCACGTGAAAAGTCATCTCAGGAGCCAGATATTGGGAAGTTACCTGCAGGAATCGATATGTTCACACGTTGTCGGGCAATCACTTTGCCCTTCCCTTCACATTCAACACACGGATATCGCACAATCGACCCGCTGCCCTGACATCGACGGCAAATGGATCGGAGCAAGAATGGTCCGGTGTTTAACTGTTCCGTACCAGTTCCATTGCAGTTGGGACAGGTGGATGTACCGGTGCCCGGTTCGGCCCGAGAACCTCCACATCGAGAACAAGCAACGGGCATATTAACAGCAATCTCTTTGTTCGCACCACGTGCAGCCTAAAGGTGAAATGGTTGGATGAATTAGCATGAAGGTAAGAAGTGTAGTAATTGCCATAAAGAAATCTGCAATCACTCACTCAACTTATTTGGGTGCTCGCACATAACCCACATAAAAACTATATGGCCTTGTATTCAGACATCGTTCTCCTCCTCCCCTTCAAAGAAAAACACCAGATAATGCCCAAATGCCTTATAGATGGAGATAGCTTTTTTTCGTGAAGGGTGATTAACGTGAGAGCAGTGTAGCGTATCAACTAGTAATTATGCCAACCGTCATTTATGATAGCAAACGGAAACGATCACAACAAGAGACGATGACGTGCGACAATTTCGTGCAAAAAGCGAGACAAAATCTTTGTGGTTTTGTGAGTATCGTTGTGGCCGACAGCTCTAATGCAGGGATGCGACCGCCTATGTAATAACTGTATGCCTCTACTCCGTTCTCGTTCTGATACTCCCAAGCTAGTGTTTTCAGCGAAAGAAACATCAAAGGATACAGTCAAGTAAAACAAGTAAAAAAACCATGTACTGTGCGTTGTATTAAAAATGTATGCAGCAACAACATTCTGGAAATTTGGACACCTGGATGCGCCATTAGCATTAAGCGGATACTGAATCATGACTGGATGTTAAGCCGACATATTCGGCCAATCAGAGTGCGTTCGATTGTGTTGACCATGGGTATGAAAGAAACCACAAAACATTTGGGTCTTGTCGGTGCTACTCACCCTCCAGGAACCTCGTGATCCTCACTGTGCCTGGTTGGAGACGCTGCAAGATATGGTTGCCAATCCATCCCACTGACTGCTGGATTTATGCACCAATTTATCAGCTCCCGCCTGCAATGCGCAGCTACCTCCCCCTCCCCCCAAACCATCGGTGAACGAAACTGCGGCAGCTACAACCACTGTACGACGAGTACACGGTTATTACAGCTGACAATGATGACAATGATGTAGTCATCCTGGTGACATGAACACCCAAGTTAATAAATCAGATCTGGGAGAAGCGGAGTCAGGTTGTAGATTTAGAGTCCAGGCTCAGCGTGCGGATAATGAATGAGGCTCAACTTTTTCAGTTGTGTACCGACCATCGTTTGTTCCTGGACAATGCAGGCGCTCATATCGAGTTACTTAGAGGCCACCGACCGCAAACGATTCATGGACTGGGTGGCTATCAGTGGCTATCAGGATGGCTGTTACTTCTGGGGTACGCAACTGGACTTTGATCATGCCTGGTTGCCATCACATCCAATGTAATCTCGGACCATTTTGCGCAGGTCAATCGATTTTCGTTGGAGGTGGACTCGAGATCATCAAGCTTGATTTCGCCATGGACGAGGATACAATGACGAGATAAGTCATTGAAAAGTTTCATTCCTTTAAACGTCCCAAGTTGTTTTTTCTCAACCTGAAAGCTGCTTTTGACTCTGTTGATCGTCAGAAACTGTCACGACGTCTGGTGACCAAAGATGTTCCTTCCAAATCAATACTCCTTATGAGGACAGTGAATGCGAACTCTTGTGAGTGCGTACGAGTAGACAACAAAGTTTCACCTGAGTTCACCATATTTAGTGGTGCAGGGCAAGAGTGACTGAAAGTCCTCTGGTCTCCTGTTAAACTCCGACGGTCGAAGCGTCTCAGAGGCACTGAGTATGCGGACATCGCTCCTCCCGGTTCAAATCCCTTAGAGATACAAGTCACGTCAAATAACCTGAATAATTCTACCGAAACAGCTTAGTATGCTCTTCACATTTGCAGTGTAAAGTGATGCTACGGCCCATTAATCAATTCAATTTATCAGCTATAAACCGTGCACCATAGGCACATTAGTTCCAGCTGCTACAGTATCCATCACCGAGAAGTGGGAGTGTGGGACATATTGCCAAGCCTTGGAGACGATGACATGTTTGGTTGGTTCAGGAACGGAGCAGCTACGCACTGAAGTCGATAGCTTTGACGCACAAGCGCCACTGACTGTGCAATGGAGTCATTTCCATCAATGTCACCGACCAGTGGTGAGTTGAGTCCCGGAGTCCCCATCCAGGTAGGCGGCAGTGGTTGACCCGACTAGGTGGGATCAAACACAAACTCCAATCCTTGAAGACAAGCCAATCGATGTGCTAAACCGATTTGCTAATATAGGTAGTCGTATAAGTTTCGGCGGAATAACTGGAGTAAAGATTACTTCTCTTATCGGGAGGGACATGACAGCGTTTGCCAACCACCAACACCTATGGTGCCAGCGTGACGTCGGCGTGCCAGCATCAAGAGCAGAGTGTACATTCCGACGGTACGATCCACACTACTTTATGGACCAGAAACACGGCCTCTATGTGCAGATAACTCGTCAGTGTTTGATCATCAGTGTCTCCAAAGTATTGGTCGGGTCTGGTGAAGACATCGAATTAGCGATGCTGAGGCATGCCAGATGGTTTTAGAAAAAAGAAACTCTCTCATGACGAATGAATTACTCACGTTTCATAGGTTACGCTGGTTAGTGCATACACTCCGCATGTCAGAGGACCGTCACACTCTTTTCGCCCAGCCCTGGCCCGGGTGGGAGCGACCGAGGGTGGAATGTGTATAGACTGGCAACGAAGTATGAAAACTGTAACCAGTGAATTCAGTCGGCTCATCAACCACGGCCTCCTTGGATGGAAACCCTGGGACTCAACTTATCGATGGCTAATGACGCTGGCACACGGCTGAACCACACAATCAATGGCGTTTGCGCACCGAAGCTATCGCCTTCAACGTGTAACCGTCCAGTTCCCTAACTAACTGATCATGCTATCACCTACAATGCTCGCCTGTTTATTCCACGCTCTGCTATTTCCTGGTGATCGAAACTGTAGTAGATACAACCAGCGCACCATTGGCACATAGCTTATAGCTGATAAACCAGCCTGCTGACTGCTAGCTTTAACACCAGGTGGTCGTTGCGCAGTACGTTCAGTTAAGAAATGTCGTGTATAAGATCCAAAATCTCATTGGCACCAGTGCACTTTGCAGTCCATCAGTTGTGTACAGCTTGGCGTACAAACATAACGTGGAATTAGTGGAAACCAGAGAACTAAGACTACCTCACAAGCCTGGAGAAGGGCGAAATCATCAGTGAGTTGCCAAAGAGTTTTTAGAAAATTTGAACAGTGTTCCTTCAAAACTAAGGGGCAGCTTTGTCGGACACCACTTCTTGTAAGGAGCCTTTTGGATGGCGATCCATAGAGCCTCATACGAAAAATTTGTGAATCCAGAGGGCACAGTGTACTATGGACACGCCCTACTGCGCAATCATGTTGAGACGAGTCCGTCAACATGGTTGAATGAATTCAAGGGACAGAGAGATTTTGGGACACTTGCATAAACGTTAGTGTCTTGACTTGGTCCACACAAGCCCCTCCTGGTTATTGCTCCATCTTAGGGTACGTTCTTTCCGTGTTTCCATCTAACATAAAATAGACGACACGAAAAGGTTTTGTCACGTTGACTCTAGTGACTGTCACACTCATCGAGCGTGTCATTTTGAAACTATGAGTGATACCGGCTTCTACCCAGATGGCTGAGGAGGTTTACTCCTCGCAAGTACAGGCAGGATATGTATATAGCCTCCAGCTGCAACACCCTATCGGTGCCTGGCTGATATGCCAAGGAAATACGAGGGCTGAGATGCTGCTAGGTTGCCCAAGATTACACGAGAGCAGTCGAAATGGCGGGGTTGGGTCTGGATAGCGGACTTTGCGCCGCCCTAACCAGAGCAATTTCGTGTCCGATAACCGGGATGCATTAGAAAAGGCGATGAGGGCAAGTGAAACATCGAGATCGTTCAGCTGTAGCGTGGTGCCCAACTGCCATGCCACCAGAAAGAAGTAGGAGGGATTGGATACTGCTAGGTTACCCAGGGAAGTCGAGAGGCAGAGGGCGGGTTCGAACCTTCTGGTCAGTAAATCCACGCTCTAGCCACTGAGCCAAGTAAAGAACAATGAATGACGGAGGGTCCCAACTTCGATCCTACAAAGAGCGAGTGCAGGCCCTGAGGATTTTGAGTGAAGAATGCACCTGTGTACCTGTGGGTCCCGAATTCACCATCCAGGACACCTCAAAGAGTAAGAAATTCAGCCAAAGCGCCTAATGTCCGTATTGTTAGACTCAGTGAATCGGATGTCTCGGTTCTCGGAACCATTGAATCGTCTTTGCTGTTGCTCGCCTAGCCTGAAGGCTTTTGGGAACCCGTTGAATAGGATAGTTGGAACAGTACAGTAAAGCCGTCCACTGAACTGATATTTAGTTTTTTGCCATTGTCGGACCTAGAACAACATGAGATACATGTTAACAATACGGTGAGTTCCCTGCAGATTCAGAGGAAGGTGGATTCTCAATTGGCAGCCGGGTTTCCTACAAAGTTTCACACAGATGCAACGAGGACGAAATAGCATGAATAGCGTCCCACATGTAGCAGGGATTGATGTCACTGGTATAAAACCCGTGACACCAACAAACACGGTGCCCCAGTGTGGATAGAATCCTTGGTGTCATCATCATCATTGTCAGCTGTAAGAACCGCGTACTTATCGTTCAGTGGTTGTGGTTGCCACAGTTTCGTTCACCGATGATTTGAGGAGGTGGGGGCGAGATGGCCCAAGTGGTTAGAGCGAGAATTTACTGACCGGAAGGTCCGTGGTTCGAACCCAACCTCCGCCGCTCGACTTCCCCTATCTAGGCTTGGGCAACCTGGCAGTATCCCAGCCCTCGTGCTTCCTTCGGGTGGCATGGCAGCTAGGCACCGAAAGGGTGCTACAGCTGAGGAGGTGGGTAGGTAGCTGCGCATTGGAGGCGGGACCTGACAAATTGGTGCGCAAATAGAGCACTGTCAGTGGACTGATAAGTTGGGGATTGGGAAGGGAGCTCTGCACTGAAGACAGCAGCTTGGATGCACGGGCGCCACTAAGGTGCGACTGGGCCGTGGTTCGAACCCAACCTCCGCCGCTCGACTTCCCCTATCTAGGCTTGGGCAACCTGGCAGTATCCCAGCCCTCGTGCTTCCTTCGGGTGGCATGGCAGCTAGGCACCGAAAGGGTGCTACAGCTGAGGAGGTGGGTAGGTAGCTGCGCATTGGAGGCGGGACCTGACAAATTGGTGCGCAAATAGAGCACTGTCAGTGGACTGATAAGTTGGGGATTGGGAAGGGAGCTCTGCACTGAAGACAGCAGCTTGGATGCACGGGCGCCACTAAGGGTGCGACTGGGTCATGTCTGACAATGTCTTTAACCATTGATGTGGCCCGTCTCGGAGTCCCCATCCAGAAAGACGGCAATGACCTACACAGCTGAGTTTGCTGGTATTGGCTTTCACATTTCGCTGCCAAGTCACTGTTTGACCGCCTCTGGCTCTCCTCCACCCTTCATGTGGTTGTGCGATAAGAACCCTTCGAGGAAATCGGTCGAATGGCATTCGCAGCGAGTGGCCAAGCAAGCGCAACCTATGCGCGATCGTTTTATCTATCGCGGGTGAGTTATTTCTTCCGAATACCATTCGACGTACTTCGACATTGCTTATCCGGTGTTCTCACCAGACTCGGGCAATGCTATGAAGACATCTATAGTCAGACACTGAAAGTCTTTCGACGTTCTCTGCGCGCAGTCACCAGGTCTCTGATCCACATAGTAATATGGAGCACACCGCAGCATCATCATCATCAGTGTCAGCTGTAATAACCGCGTACTCGTCGTACAGTGGTTGTAACTGCCGCAGTTTCACAGCAGAATACAGTAATTCTAAGGGAGTGTAAGGTCTCAGCAAGCATTGTCTGTTTGCCCATTTGGCATAGAGTACAGACGTTAAAAGCTCCTACATAGAAAGGATCTCGTGGATTTACAAAGGTGTTATTTTGACCATTTTTAATAGGCGGTGAGAAGCATAAGGCCCTTCGGTCAGATAACTGACAGCAAATGACCCAGCGACGTTCGCTCCTGTGATGGGAAGGAGTTGGGGAGGGACATCGGTGGACACCGAGCTGCGCGGGAAAATGATACCTGCCGGTTGCCCAGGCCTTCGACTCAAAATCCCGACCCACAAGGCAGTGGGAGGATGTAGGGTTTTGTTCAGGGACCCTGAACATCGCCTGACTTAGAAGTCTGACCTGCAAGGCAGCGGACAACGGGGTTTTCTTCGGGGACCCTTCCCAGAGCCGATGACTCAAAAGTCTGACATGTTCGGCTGCAGGGGTTTGGCCTTACCAAAAAATAAGAGAATAGCGCATTGCTGTCTCACTCCTAGTGCAACTGCCTCTTGAGCAGCACTGGACTCTTTGGTTTTGAAATTATTTCGACCGCATTGGATAATGCGCCGACGGTCACGGCCAACCGTTGGGCGATCGTTGTCCTTCCTCAGGGGAAGCCAGCATCGCTCCTTCCATAAATATCGACATGCTAGTCGTCTGGAAGAAACACCTTACTGCCTTGACACTCCTGTCGCAGAGGACAGTAAGACTTTACCCCCAGACCGCCTCGTAGCACGGGGTCTCTAGGTTCGACTGCTCCCCTTTGGCCTTCCTGGCATAGTTACGCTGTGTGGAACGATGTTCCAGCCAGTGTAGCCCGCAGGATCATTGCAGCACTCAAGCCCGACCACCACGTCACGGTGGCAGCTTTAGGTCGGTCGATACCCTTGGCTGTAAGACCATTAAATAACGTCCGGTCCTTACGGCAATCCATTTGGCTAAAATCCTTGTCCTCAACTACCGATTGTAACGTTTCGTTCAACCCCGTCGACACTGTCTGCCAGCTGAAAACACATCTTGAGAAGCAGCACCTAGTCCTGGCTGGGAACATCCCTGCTTATCAGCACTGCCGCAGACGAGTGAGAACTGAACTGAATAAATAATAATAACAGCAATAATAATAATAATAATAATAACCGTTCAGCAGTAGTACCCTGTCGGAGCTTGGCTGAACTGAGAGTTCGGGCAAATGTGACCCATCTGGAACACTCAGAACAGGGCGGGTTGCGGGATGTGACAGAGAAGCCAAAGTTTAGTCATTCCATGCACAAGGGGACTTCTCAAATCTTCTTGTGTTACACCATTCTGATGATCCACGAAAGCAAGTGATAAGGTTCCGGCCGGAACATCAACTCCGCGCTTGCGTTTCAATCGCTCCGATGATAATTTTGAGTACCTTGAGTAATTTACACACTCCATAAACCGAGATTCGCTTCCACAAACAAACTTATTTTAATCAATGATGGTTGATAACGCTGCTCAACTATTTTTCACGCACCGTGAAAGGTCGGATGAGACAAACAATCACAACATAACTGCATTTCCAACAACATCGTCCGTGCTTACCTGTTCAAAAGTCAAGTTTACGGGAATCTCCTTTGTTGGACTGAATCCAAATATTGTTTCTGCGAAGTTTCTATCACCGGTAGTCCATTCCTTGAAGGCGAATTCACTATCCCGGAAGATCCGTCGGAATAGCTCCTCTGGGTCAATTTGGGAGTGATACTCAAAACCGCTGTACTGAGGTCTGCCTTGAGCACCCGTGCCGGACGAGGCGGCTCCGAAGGAGTTGTACTGCTTTCGCTTATTCTCGTCACCGAGAATCTAAATGATTTAAAGTTACTCCGAACGAAAATACGTACTTCGTATGCTTCGCTCACTTCCTGAAACTTCTGGGCTGCGTCCTTGTCATCCTTGTTTACATCCGGGTGGTATTTCTTGGCCAACTGGAGCAAGTTTGGAGGACCGTAAGCAACTTACCTGATAGTACGCTTTCTTGATATCCGCCTGAGAGGCCGAGCGGTCAACACCAAGGATTTTATAGTAATCCTTCTTTTTTGCGAATGTGGAATGTATTCCTCGAAAGGACTGCAGCTCACAGGATATAGATGAGTGAATCCTTTCGAGGAAATTTCCACTAAACCGAGAAACCCAAAGAACACCGCCCTTAAGAGCCATGCGCGAACGTAGCGCAAGCATCAAAAAATGCGCCGGAGACTACTAACAGTGAGTTCAGCATTCACATGATCACCGATTGATACACAGGACCGAGGTTTTGCCCAAGTTTCCCGGGTCACTTTTGTTCTTATCATTAAGTGACCAAGTGGAAAAGGTTTAGCACTGCTTCTTAAGTTCTCAGCGCGGAGTAGTCAGCTTGCCAGCACGAGGACTCGCACAAAAGTCTCTAAAAGTGCTTTGAACTGGGTTCTATGTGCACCATGGACAACTGTCATCAATTACCTGAAATGAGAAAAATTTTTGCTTAATGAAAATGTGCTCTCTGGGCTTGAACATCTTCTTACATAGAGGTCTAATCCAGCCAGCTAGACGCAAAAACCGGTGGCAACCCTGACCCTCGATTTCACGTTTGGTGGAGCATCTTCAAGTACTTTTACAACAGTAACAGGAGCAGTTTGTAAAAGCTCAAGTCTCTGTTGCACAGTGTGTCATTGACTACGATAAAAAGATTTGGGTCCCCGTCCTTTTCCGTAGGAGCTGGTGCCAGCTGCCTTACCGAATTCAGTATCGACGCTGCCCCTTGACGCACTTTCCAAAGTTGTTTCAAGAAATAAGGGGAACAGCTTCTCCTTCCTACCTTGATGGTGAATTGAAAAACTGACTGTCGCTGCGGAAACCTGGACAGATGAACAGCTGGCTAAGATGCGCGGTCGAAAATTGTCGTAAATTCATGAGCAAGACTTACAGCCCTTTGGCTGTCATCAGGGCTTTTGAAAATAAAACGCGACCTACACGCCTGCATATCTCTCTCGAATGACGATAAAATATCGGACAAACCAGCCTGTTTTTATTTGCGCAGTGCAATGTCAACCACGGCCTAAGTGAAAACCATGATGACGACAAGTGTATTATGGCGAAGTCTGCCGTAACTCACCCGAAAATTGTGGTCAGATTGTAGCGGAGGCGTAGAAAATGAGGTAAGATATTTCATTCGTTGGGTCTATGCGTAAATGGGAATAACAGCTTTCAGTGGCAGCCGCCATGTTTACATGTGTGAGAATATTCTCGAGGCTGGTGCGAGAATACTCTCGAGGTTGTTGCGCAGCTGCTGTGGCCGTAGAGATGACCCAGAGTTGAGGTGGTCAAGGTCGATAAGCGCGTTGGAAGTTACTTCATATAGAGATACTAATACACCAGGTGTGTGCCCACATATTCAGACTGATTAAAAACCGGGTGCACATTAAGAGCCGGGTATGGGGATTTTTTGAAGCTAAAGGGATATAGAAGTACAGTAGACCCAATGCTAAACTGACATACGCTCCACAGATTCTAGCGGAAGGCAGCAGCCTAAGCTTTGGATAACAACTCCAAAAAACGTATTAGTGTCAAATGCATAGGAAGATAGCCTTAGTTTGGGCAACGCAAAACTCATATTCTTTAAAGTCTTTACCCGATTTCTCCAGGGCCCTTTTGCTGCACTGAACTGCTGTACTTTTCTGCAACAAAACTTTTAGGAATGAGGTCGTTGCTGCCCACTGATTCACGGACTCACGGATCGATACACAAGATCCAGGCCTTTGCCCAAGCTTCACAGTCGGTTCTGTTCTTGTTCAGTGGTTGTCGTTTACCTGATAAGCATTAGTGGAAAGTGTGTTGCGCTGCTTTTTGAGTCCTCAGAGCCAGACAGTGAGCATGCAAGCGTGAAGATTCGCATAAAAAGCGTCTGAAGATTTCAATTGGGCACTAGATGGAGCGTAAAAAATTATCGGAAAATCTTCTCGCCATATCCCTGCAGTAGGTTAGCGTGATCGATTGTGAAATCTTGTCGGCCAAACCTTGTTTAAACTGGCACAGTTAAGCACTGGACCTCCTCGAAGGCGATAATGATTCAGGGGAACGAGGTAAAGTACCGCAAGCCACGTTTCACCGTCCACGGATTTGGGGTCTGCAACCGTCTTCCGAGAGAGCTCGCGCGACACGCTCGATGAGTGTCACCGCTTTTGTGCGTCTTGAGTTGAAAACTTGGTTAGTATATTCAAGAAGAGGTCTGACGTAAGCCACATAGAGCATTTTAAATTCCGTGGGAGAAATACGGGAGGAGGTGCATTTAATCATCTGCAGAATGGCCAAAATTTTTTGAAACGATTCCTCGTGGTGCAGCGAGAGGGGCATGTTTGAGGAGAGCCAAATACCCAAATTCCCTTTGGCATTCACCCTCGTGATATCTCCCGGTCCACTGTCACTATGCACGACAGGCGTTCGCAGAGACATCTCAGAATGACATGTGGAAGCATTTTTGGATTCAGAGGAAGGTGGCATGCCAACAACCAATGTGTTGCATCGTCTACATTCATTTGAAGGGCACTGGCGTTGGTGCTCCGGGATTTCAATTCGTCCACATAACGTGGACATTGACTTGCAAGAACATTCGCAAGGTCACTGACGTATATCAGAAACAGTAGTGGTCCCTAAATGGAGTCCTGAAGAACTCCAACGGAGACCAGCGCCGAAGAAGAGTAGGTCGAGTTGTTTTTCGCTTGGAATGTTCCGCCTGATAGGAAGGCCCTAATCCAGTGTAGAGTTGTCCCTTGAAGTTCTCAACACACAAGTTTGTGGAGTAGCGGGACTTGTGGGATTCGACTGAATGCTTTTGAGAAGTTAAAAATATGGCATCTAATATGAGTCCCACGCCCCTAGCCTCGGTTGAGCTGTTCACAGATACGAACATGCTGGTCCCAAAAGAACGGTTTGGGAGAAATCTGTGTTTAACTGGAGAAATCAGTTTTTTGGAAGTAATCAGCTCTAGGAGGACCCGCATCAGAATGCGTTCCATCACCTTGCACGGCACGTTAGTTGGGCTAATAGGCCTGTAGCTACCGGGTGTCAGTTGGTCACCAGTTTTGTAGATTGACGTGACAATCGCCTCCTTCCACCTCCATTTACAATGAACGCAACTTTAACGTAGTTGAAGTGAGCCATTTAACTTTGGAAAATACATAGCCGTTGTTGATACACAGCATGTGGTGGTGACACTCCTGTAAATATTTTTTCTATCTATATCTGATTCCCCGGTCATGTACCGAATTGTGAGCCATTCAGAGTAGATATCGCGGAAACCACATTCATTTTCATTTAAATCGCGTGAGATTGGAAGAACTTAAGACTTGCAGGTGTTAGTGACCTATGCAAGTCTGTTTTTAAACAGCGGATTCCTCCATCTTGACTGGCGATTATGGCGGACAGCTAGATGGACCGCAATCACGTGACTTGCGGCGTCATCCTCATTCTAATTGGTTGAAAGCTAGATGGCGAGAACATTCAAAAATGTCAACACGGCGGATTTGCGGTTTATGATTGACCCTCTCAAACGAAGTAGAGAATTATAGTGCGGTTGTATCTTGTGAAAATTTACATCGTTAACAGATTTGCTAGTCTAATGAACGCAGAGTGTGCAATTCCCGCTAGTTTAAGGTAGCTCGGTTGTAAAAAGTGTAATCTTACATTTTGTTCTCAAGGTTATCTGTATCTCCAAAGGAAGACGGTATGTGGGATTACTGGCGGTACCAAAAGGTAATTTGTCAGAATAGCCCGGATTTAGCAGCTGACGCTGATGTACAGACCGTTTGCACTCAGCATCGTTCACAAGTTATGAAACCGTTATTCGTTTGAATGAAAGAAATAGCCTACGTGCTATTGTCTATGTTCCTCTTAATGAATGCCTTGAAGGCCATGTATCATTGAAATTGTGTTCGGAAGCTAAGGCACCCGATATATTCTTTGACTGCCCTGGGTGCAAGACCCGGTGTTTTCATGGACAGCCCTAACTTTGGTTTATAGTGACAGAACCATCGGTGCGTCGTTTGGAGCCAACGGATCAACGGTAGTGTCTGTGGTTGAGCCAGAGCTGCAGCTCTGGCACCACCGGTGGCAACAGCAACTTATGTCACCATTGTAGGCTTTGAACCTTGAAACTTAGTTGTGGCTGGAAATCATTCGTTCCGTTTTCGTTGGCAACTGTACATACTATGTAACAACAGACGAGGTATTAAGTGTATGGTACGCCTCTGTCATAGAATCTTTGGATTGAATATTTCTGTCGATTACGTAACTGGTAACACCGTGACATGAAACACACATGAACCCTAATAAGTGCTTCATGGACAGTTAGGCCACCGGGCTATTGTGCGTAACGCTAAACGCATGCGGTTAGAGGCGACCCTATATTGTCCTATATGGTTTCGGGGCCACTCTGAGGCTATAGACGCAATCAGAAAATTACGTCCCCCTTTTCAGGCCTACGCAAGCTGATCTCCAACTGAAGGCCTGGATGCCTTGGTTGCCGTGACGCTTGCGTTGTCGGGAAATATGAAACGAATTCTAAGAAAACAATTTTATTATGACTGATTGCAAGCAGGTGACAGAATCATTAAAAATGTGTTCCGCAGTTGTGCCTGGAAAGCAAATGGGAAAAGAACTATTGCAAGGCAACGGAATGAGAACGACCAGAGCACCGTTCTCCCAGCCTGCGGGAAAGACGCAAACTAGTTGCCACTACCGTAACGCGTTGAGGAGGGGATTTTACGGCGGAGAAAACCCATTCATCACCTACATCTGCAGGTGGTAGCATTGGGGGTGCTAGGTTGAATCTGCCTGAATTACAGCACCACATTTTGCAAACAAACCACGCAAACGGACGGAAGTAAAAGAACATTCAAACTCTCATCATCACAGACACAGCCATGGGTCCGAATGGGCGCAGCGCATCTCGGATACCCTGCAGATCATATACAAGATAGTCCAAGCGTCGCACTTTATCGCGCAGGACCCGCACATCATCCCTGGTCAAGTTTATTCAATAGTTTTTCCGGACATAGTCTCGTATTTCCACGGATGACTCAAAACATCGCAACAATCCAAACACAAACAACAATCATACGTACGCAGCTCACTCTGTTCGCCCGAGGGTATATCCTGTGAACCTACAAGATATCATACCACATTTAACCATCTTACTTGACAACAATCCAGTTGATGAGGTACTCGGCTCAGGAAAAATTGGCCGTACTGTCGTTGAAACCGTGCTGGTGGCGTTCTGCATGCCGTGGGCACCCGGACCGCAAACGGAGCAAGCGAGGATAGACCATTTGTAGGTCCGAACCAGTTTATATACCATCCTGACTTTGGCCTTTATACACCAGCTGCCTGGTCCAGACCGCAAGTCGCCGGCTCTGAGACGGACCTAGTCGACGCACATGGCTAACACTGAATCAGGGGTTTATGATGCGTAATCACTAGGCCGACTTGCGGTTATCCATGTTTACCGGGACAATTTGAAATTGCAAATTATACGACATGAGAAATTAAATTTTCTTGGTGGTTCTGATTATTACATTTGTCCTGCCGGGAAGCGTGTGGCTTTTTGTGTGCACAGCGCCCAATGAGCTACTGACGTCCTAAAATGGGAGAAGATACAAATTTGGTTATCGCAATATCGCTAGGAGTCTGTCGGCTATCGAATTGGGAGCGATAATTACCCTTTAGCAAGAGCATTTTAGTGACGACGATGCAGTAGAAGCTCGTTTATACGGTGTCGTCTTTGAGGGCTGTTTCTCATTGCGTGAGCTTCTGTAATCTGTTCTCTGCTGATATGACTCAAGAGAAACATAAGACTTACATTCAGTGAATAAGGATCCATTAACCGACGAACCGTCTGAAGCTGATGGGTCATGAATGAATCATTTGTAATATCTTCCGCCTCCTTCTTCTAGCTGGAGCTCTTAAGCGTTATTCTCAGTAGCCAGGTATTCACTCATAGCTGCCGACTGGCTCCCACTCGGACCCATATACCTCCCGAGAACATTTACTGAGATTCTGCCGTTTGGTCGAGGACCGGTAAGCACGCACCATTTTGCGTTTTCTGGACGGGTCGGGGACTAAGCGCCAAAATTAAATTATTCTTTTGTGAACACAAAGCAAAGGCCGTGGGCTAGACGCACACCCAAAATTTCTCTGAAACCGTGGTTTGAAGGAGGAAAACTTTAACATAAATTGTTAACATTTTATGGTACTTTTTCGAGCGTATGAGATCTTCCCAAACTGCTGCAGTTTTGTTGAAAGTTGTTTAAATCTACTCAACCCCCACGATATTCAAGGCACGCGATATTCATATTTTAAATGGCTGCTATCGCTGTGCACGTGAATGCGACGGAAGATTTTGTGGAGAATTTAGCTCGTCAAAGGTTTTTCTCATTCAATGCATTTCAATTCGCTTTGAAAGCGTACCAGACGAAACATTTCGTTGTTTTCGTCCGTATAAACTCCAAAAAGAGCAGTAATTCGCTATTTTTGTATTAAAAAGCCTTGTATCGTTGCAGCAGACATCCCTGCGGATGAAGCAGAAGCCGTGAAATTCGTCGCACCTAGTAACTTTTGTGTACGTTGTATCACATGTCGTACTGATTGTCCGGCAAGGTTCTACGTTCGCCGGTACCATGGCTGCTTGCGGGTTACTTCCTACTACCTGGAGCACAACCATCCACGCAGCAAGTTTATTTTTGACAGGCTCCCCATCAACTGGCGACTGACAAATGATGAATTAAAGGAGCGTTCTACCCTTTTGAAATACGGTGCTCCGTCATCGGAGACTCGGCAGTACGTCGCCGACCACTTTGGAAAGGTACTCACTATCAAGGATTTGCGTAACTATCGCATCAGATGTCGACCCCCTATTGTTAAGTAGGCCGTTGGTTACCTTTTTTTGGGTTTCTTAGATGACATGTCGTCCATCATAGACAAGTTTCGAGAGTGCGGTCGCGGTGGAATCGGAGGGTGGCAGGTGTAGTCACCTGTGCTTTTCTCGAACCCAGCAGATAGCACTCTTTAGACGTTTCCCGGACGCCTGCGCAAGCAGCTTGATCGGTTGGTTGGCAAACTGAAGCTGCTGGAATCGCGTAAGGCTGCTGGGTGCATGAAGCGTCTGATTGTCCAAAGTCAGCTGATGTTGCATCAAAATGCAATTAGTGCAAAGGACAATCAGCCTCTGGTGTTAGATGGAAACTGCAACCAACCACGGTGGCGTTCGACATCAAACGACGCTGTTCCCTGTGGTCTCTGTGGCCAGCCGACTGACCGTGCTGTTTGGTGGTGTCAACGTGATCGACTTCCATATCACCGTTATTGCTGCGGCAATGGGCCCTGCCGCTGTGTGGAGAAAATCTTCAGGCGCGTCCACCAAGTGAGTGCACATGTATTAATCAAACTATTTCCATTATTTGCCGGTCAGTCTACCTACCGTTCAGCTAAAAGAGCTTGCTTCGATGTTGATCTTGATCGGTCCATGGAGGACAAGCCGAGGTGCCCCGTAAGAAAGTCGCGATAAAACTGTTTTGTCCCATTTCGGAGTTGATGGAGACCGGTAATTTGAGACCTAATTTCTTAGCATACGCTTTGTGGACCTCACTTTCGAATCCCGTGATGACGAGGAATTCATGTGATTGTAACTCGATGGTTTCAAATGCCGAATCAATGAACCCATGGCAATCCGCAACGACTATACATTTATCCCTCATCTCGATAATGGGAATTATGAACTACTAGGTAAGCAAACAAATAAAATTCAATTACATCCAGATGCTTAAATGCTGTTCCCGAAGGTTAATTGCTTGCCCATTTTCCGTTTCAGAATTCTTGTCCCGTGAAGTGGATCTTACGAAAAATGAAAAATGGAGTGACTACAGCTTAAGCTTGTATCAGTGATGCCAATGAATAAAATGCAATTCGCCAATGGTGTTTCCGTAAATTCATGGCGGGCGCATTATCATCGCGTGGAGTAATGAGTACGGAGCGCCGTCGTTGGCCGTTGTATTACGTTGCCGTGCATAGTTGAGGCCCCATAATCCGCGTCGCGAATAGCAGTTACGCTAAGTAGCCGAGGTGAGCGACAGCTCATTGTTTAGGGTAATGGAGGGAGTGGTCGAGAGGGTACAATCAAGAGTAGGAGATAGGAGCGCGCTATCAAAATGGGTGATGATTGCATTTGGACAGGCGATGACCACCGTTGATTGTTGGGTTAGTCTGTTATGTGTTGTCGGCGCATTGTGGTTAGCTACGAGCATGTGTGCGGGCCTGGCAGTTACTGTAGGTAGTCACGTAGGTCATGTCAACTACAGTTGCGATGTTTATTGGAGGTAGGAAACATAAACGGCATCGAGTAAGTATGAGTATAACGATAAATAGCCAAGTTAGGTGACTTCGCGTACAGTTGTGAGTATAACAGGCAGTCAGATTATGCTATCACCCATAGTTGAGTCCTTTTTTTACTAGTCGGCATATATATTGGATTGATGTTTACTGTAGGTAGCAAAGATAAGTGGCATCGAGTATAGTATGAAAGACTGTCAGCTTTATACTAGACGTTGCACATAGACTCAGGTGTTGCAATTACGATAAGCAGCCAAGGTGGGCGATATCAACTGCAGTTACGAGTATGACGGGCAACCATTGTTCGTTAAGATGTCACGCATAGTTGGAACCTGGTTTATACCGGCCCGCATAGATACTGGCTTGGTGGTTACTGTAGGTAGCAGGCGTTTAACACTGACTTCATGCTCGCCATGATGATATAAGCAGCAGACATAAGCGAGAGCGCGCACATTTATGGGTATGACGGGTCATCGTTGGCAGTTAAATCAGGACACTTCGCATAGTCGAGGCCTACTAAACAGCGTCGCATATATGCACTGGCCTAACAGTTTCAATAAGTAGTCAAGGTAGGTGATATCGCGTACAATTCTGGGTATTAGGTTAATCGGTCGCCATTAGCTTAGGTATGTATGCACAAGGACACTGGCTCAACAAGTAAGATCAATAGCCAAGTTAGATGACCTCGAGCACAGTTGTGAGTATAACAGGCTGTCAGATGTGGCTATCACGCATAGCTGAGGCCTTATTTTACCGGTCGGCATATAAATTGCACTGATGTTTACTGTAGCTAGCGGAGCTAGGCGGGATCGCGTATAGCTAACGGTATACAAGACTGTCATTGACCGTCGGATTATGTCACTGTGCATAGGTGCAGTCTCATTATCAATGTGGCACATAAACGTGGGCCTAACAGTTACAACAAGTATTCGAGATGAGTGGAAACTAGTAGAGATACAAGTACAAGGTGCCGTCGTTGATCATTGGATTGGGCTGCCGCGCATATGTGGGGAACCTTAATTAGCGTCGAACATAGACACGGATCCAGCAGCTACAATAGGTAGTCGAGGTAAGTGACAACGGCTACCGTCATCGTGGTGACCGCCTTATGGTTGGCGGTCACCACCTATAGAACGTCATAGTTATATTAGGAAAGACGCCCACAGCATTCTTGTTAAACTGTATTATCTACAATCTGGTTATGCACATCTGGGAAAGGAGATCATCCACAGATATCCCTCGCACTGCCACTGCAAGTTTGTGCTGTTATCTAACTTTATTGCACTTAATGGAATATGAGAACCATGGGGAAAGTGTGTTGTGAGCTGGTTCACCAAACAAAAATATCCCATTGGTTAAATCTGAGGTGTCTAAAGAAAACAAACGCCCGCAACTGATCCTATAGAGTGGCATTTGCATTAAATACTCTTAAGATGTTATTTTATTCTCCAGAAACACCGAAGAGCGCCAAAATATGCTAAAGTGGGATTTCGTGTTTTATGTCGCTTAAACCGGAATGCAATGCAAATCGGCGATGGTCAATGACCTTGACATTTCGCTCACTTAAACAAAATGTTACGTGCAACATTTCAGGGGAAGGTGTGATTAAACTTTAAACAAAATGTTACGTGCAACATTTCAGGGGAAGGTGCTAATTGATTAAACTAACTGCCCATTAAAATAGCAACTTCGAAAACCCTATAGTTTCGGCGAAATCAATTTGGGTGTGTCAATAGCCTGCGGCCAAAATCAAAGCGGGCAGATTTCAAAGTCACAAAATTCGACATGATATGGTACGCAACAAGTTGCACACCAGTGGTCACTGGCAGTAGTCGGTTGGTCACAAAGCAGACAGAAGCTCAAGCCCGTGTCTCTAGAGCACCATCTGTGCTGAGGTCCAGTATTCTCGACCACCGACCACAGGCTGCCAGTTGCAGCCTTTGAGCCTTGGAGCAGCAGGTTTTGCTCCTGAACACCCAGTTGCCTACTGATGTCTCTGGCCCTTCCGGGTTCTAGCCCATGAAGCTTATCCACTAATCGATTCAGTTGTTTACCAAGGTCTTCAAAGGTTGTCGGTGGCGGTTTGACAACAAGTGTATGGAGTATACCTTTTTACGGTAGATTGTAATCCAAAAGCCCCTTTTTGGACGGAGCGGCAACAGGAAACCAAGCAGAAAACCTATGAAGAATAATTCTTACTGCTAGGAGGTGACTGGTCTCTAAATAGAGAACAAGTGTATACAGGGGAGCCACATCTCCTGGTAGAAAGGGTGTGTGCATTCTCCAGAAGATGCGTAAGCCCTCTGGGGGCATCCGGGTTTTTGCACCGCAAACTATAATTTAATTTACGTAGGTCGACCCCACTTGTTTGTTCAACACTATCATAGGGCAGCCTTGGCGGTCGCGGCGCCAAGTGCCTTGAAACGAGAGAACTTGCATACGTGATCATTCGACAGATCACTCTCAGAATGTAGGTATCACCTCACGTAATCTCAATTTCCCACACGAGCAACTCGGTGTGCCAAGATACTTTTTGTATGGCACGCTGCAGCGTGTCGGAGTTGTGCGCCCGGCCATTAAGGCGGCCGTTTGTATACTCCAGATCGGTCTCATTACCAGAGTGAACCATTCCGCACCGTGCGTGTACGGCCTATTTTCGAGTGGTGTACAACCAGCAAGCCGTAAGATAAGGTACGAATCATGAGTCCTTTCGACGCAGTAGTTTCAGAACTTGCCAGAATCTATGTGCTCGTATTGTGATAAGCAAACACTATAATATGGTAGTGTACAAGCCAGACATGCGGTGAAATACATGCCGGCTGTTCGCGAAGTGTGGCCGTGACAAAAAACGCGGATGTTATATGATACATAAGTGCTTCCTGAGTGGTTTTTTGACATAAAAATGGCACAACAATATGTCGAGATTTAAAACAACTCTTGCAATCTGCATTTGCTCCGCAACTTGTCTATGACAAAAGCCTTAAATTTACATTCCTCTCCCCATCCTTTTCCTGAATAACTCGTACAATTTACGTATCAGGGAAAAGGGTCTGCTCTCCACGAAGGCAAACACCCCCGGAAACCCGGTACACGTGCCATCCGTGATCTGTTGTCTACAGGCAGTATATCAGTTGCCTCAGACCAAGTTACCCAATTGGCTTGTTGCGTGCGTTTCGGCGACATTCACTATATCCGAAAAGCGTTGAAACAATGCATACGTGGCTATAGCGACTTTCTGCTGACTCCAACATAAACACGTATCTAGTTTTCAAAAATGTTGTCAGAACTCAAGATATATCTTCTACCGAAAGAATATCCCACTGCGCGGAATTGACCCAACAAAGCTTGTCGACAATTTTGGCAGTGGCTTTATAAGTCCTGAGTGATAGTAATCTCGCCAAATTCATTGGCCAGAAACTGCTTCGCTTCACAAACAGCCCTCTGTGCTTCTGCACTTCCTCCTGCAGGTTCCCAGCTCCTCTTTTGTACGTTGCCGATTTACAAGGAGTCTATAGCACAAACCACGGACACGTTATGGTTTATTTCAACATGATATGAGGTGACTGCGAGATGGTCCTCCTGCCACCTTAAACAAAACCACGCTATACAGCTAGTGCTGTTTTGCATAAGAAAACGCGTTCGGTTTAACGCCTTCTTTGGATTCTCAAACTATCCGTTTATCCTGCGGGCCGCCAGCTGCATTCATAATACGCCAATTTGTAACGCAAAACAGAGTTGGTGCTTTGGGAAATGCATGAACGCACAAATGTAACGTGGTTATCCTTCATGTATTCCTTCAATGCCTTCTCAAACGCCGTGGAAAAGGAAAAGGATACAACCGCCACTCTCTCAATAAAAGCGTGTGAGGCCACACCTAAAGCCATAGCACCGCAAGTTCAAAGTCAACTGTTCACCAGAAATATAGAAATGGCATTAATTAAAACAAATCATGCAAAAATGACCGCAGATTAAAATAATTTTCGGTCTGAACACATTAGACGGAAAGCAACTTTCTGGCGTAAAACGTTTGATTCCAGTCGCAAATGCTTTGCAGAGTAATGCATTGCGCCTCTGAGGTGCGACCTTTGGACCTAAAATGACAAGTGGCGTGCAGACTTAAAGCTGGTCACCTAGTTATATATAGCAGAACGCTTTGCAGAATGATTGCTTGATATAGTGGTACCGCCATTATAAGAGTTCGATGGACAATTTTTTGATTTTTTCTCATGTGGTGAAATATCTGGATGGTTTTTGCAGATCAAAAAACACTTCTGTTGCACGTGAGACAGATTTTTCCTTATAGAATGTAGTTTTGCACCACGCTGGTTCAAGCAGTAAATGTTTTTGTGTTGAGCCTAAGGAGTATTGGTCGACTCGCTGAGCGTAATCTAATAAGTAGCAAGTTGCTTGCAGCACCGCGCAACCCATTTAGGGTTTCAATCAACTCTGGGGCAATAAAATGATGTAGAGGCTTTCGTAGTGCATTCTTTCCCGCCAATAGAAACCGCACCGTTTCATCCTAAGATGCATCTCACTTGATGCTTTTGCCCAACAGTAAGCATATTTCATCCGCAAAGATTTATTGGCCATCAGTAGTTTTTGAAGCGCGCAGATATAAGTTATCTGCCGACCGGTCATGTGTTACTCTCACGTTGTATAATTATGCAAAATTGTGGGTAACTGAGCTTGTCTTAACATATAATGCTTTCATTTTTTCGTTGATAGTGCCATATCGTATATTGTTAAGGGCACAACAACGGGATCTTGCAAGTATTTTATAACCAGTAGGTGCAGTTTCCAATCTGCCTTCTGTTTTCCATAAAGTTTTGTCAATGTGTTCCGGTGAGAATGCTTCGTTACTACCCAAACAGTCTATCGGTGCAGTGTCTGATAAATCAGCTTAAGTTATCATACTACTTGTTACCGGATAGAGGTGTGACGCTGCCCCTAGGAGGACACCGATTAGAAATAGCTTTGATATCGACAATGGTTTTTTAAGACGACCATGTTCGGAGCAATCAACCTGGTCTGCTGAAACATTAGCTGCTTTGTTGCCACACACTGGACTTTGTTGTGATTAAGCCATGCTAGAAGACATATGGGAGCACTTAGAACAACAGAAGACATGTACTGAGTAGTATCCTCGTTGAAACTTTTTAGCCAGGTAAAAGCCCAAGACATCTACGGAACAAGTTTTCGTAATCGACTTACACAGAAATGACCGGTGTTGTATGGGCAATATACCCACAATGCTTTTGAAAATTCCAGATTTAATTTCAACATCAAAGTCCCTGCTTTTGTTGAAAAATGTCGCTCTGCAAAGGGGAAAATTAGTGCTAACAGAATACCACTTGCACGGTAGCAAAACTAGTTCTTTGCACCACAGTTGAGTGTTGGTATGATACCTGACGCCGGCGAAACGTTGTTCAAAATATGCTAAAGCTCAGCTTCCACAGTAAAGTATCAAGCCATTTAAACATCAAGACTGCCCTCACGTCATTTAATTATGCTCGCAATAATCACGTGAAACAAACAAACGGTTTCAGTTAAGCGATGAACCATTTCAATAAGATCGGATATCAAGAGAACACCCACGAGGCGGAAGGGGCTCGTCGTACGCCGTTGAAGTTGTTCAGGCAGATAGAAACCGAATTTATGTTTATTTCTGTAAATTAGCGCTAATTAGCCATCTTTTCCTATTTGTTTGTGCACCCATGGGTCGCCAGACCTATACCTGTTCATTATAGTGCCATTTCGTTTCCCTGCCGATCGTTTCCGGCGTTTGTGCGCCTGCTTAAAGTTTGCTCACTTTCCTGTTACTAACGCCGAGATTTTGTCCCCTGTTTATTTTGCTTGCAGTTTCATGTCCAAGTTTCCCATTGTCGAACGTTTGCTTTGAACGGAGAAGGAATTTACCTGGAGGTCAAATTCGGAACCGCTCAGGTAACAGTCGAGGTCGCCATCTGCTGCGCCAACTGTACTTCAAATAGATGCTAGTTCGGTATTATCTTTATACTGCATCTTATCTAATTGTGTACTTTTTAATTTTGTTTTAAAAGGGAACATGTGCGCATTTTATGGCGGCACTGCTCCATCACGCGGTCACCTGAAGATTGCGTGTGCATTTATTTTCCGGCAAATCAAAAGTAATACTGTTAATTTCCAACTAGTGTGGGGCGTACCATCAGACATAATCGATACTTGTTTTCCAGACAGTTTCAATTTATCTGCAACTAACTGAATGACTTGTGCGCCTTTATCTCTCTATGTGGTCTATCTACCTCTCTGCCTGCCCGTATCCCTAAGGTTGTTTGCTACTTGAAATCTACTCTCCATCACACTCAGAAAACCATGCCACCTCACTGTCATTGTTTCTGCTTTTACTGATCACGTTTTAGATAACTGCGCTTTCTGAATAATTTAAGATGACTATTAGCTCATTTGTTTATAGAATTCTCTCAATGAAGCATCTGCTGCCCATATCAATCTTTTTCTACCGCCCAGTGATCAGAAACTGCGTGGCCTGATAGCACCAACAGTCCAGGAGGATACTTCGCCGCTCGGATCTTGTATGCACCTTAGAATTGAAAATGGCTTTGAATTAGTCTAAAGAGAAAGCGAGTATAACTATTCTTGGTGCATCTGAACATGCAAATCATATGGTTTTTCAAACCATAATCACACATCACAGTGAAATCTGTTTTGAAACGCGGGTACGCAAGCTGTTACACCGTACCTGAGGAGAAAGCGCTGCGTTGAGGTGCGTCACAACTCTGATTTTGAACAAAAATAAGAGAAGTGTAGTCTAGCAAGTTTTGGAGGTGTGTGCTGTAAAAGAATGAGGTCTGATTTAGGACGGAGTAAAGCTAGGCCTGAAAATAGTCTACTTAAAAATTGAGATAACCAATTGAGTAAGAAATATCGGTGGGCGCAGTGTACACACGAGTAATTGTTGAACTTTTATTACTCTAACAAAACATTTGAGAGATAACCCTTGATATTTTGCGCACACTTCCTATTTTACATCTAATCCTAAACATAACATCAATTTACACCGATTGCCCGCTGCAGCCATTGATAAACCATAGCAGACGTGAACGAAATGGCTGCCCGTCGAAAGTCAAACGCGGTATGCATTGCCAAACCTGCAGAGCCTGGTGGCATTTTAGACGCACGGGTTTACAGGACGACCAGATAAGCCGACTAGGTAACTCTCCTGACCGGTTTGTCTGCGCCAGCTGCTTCTACGTTTAGGGTGCAGTGCATACCGCGGTCAAGAGGAGATCCCCAAAAAACGGTACTCAATCCCCTTTGCAGATACAGAAAGACCGATGTGAGTGTTCCGCTTTAATCGGGATACTCGACGCGAAATTGGAGCGTCTTTCTAAGGCACTGGAGGATTCATATACCAAGAATGCAGCGACTTAGACGAAAGTTTACAAGGAACTTCTTTCGCAGAACGAGTACCTCGCGACATCCATCGCGGGTCCTCTGGCTGCGAAGAAAGTCGTACAACTTTCTGACTCGGCTATGAAGACCGCCACAGCGTCTCTAGTGGACAGGCGCCTAGGGGAAAACAGACTGATAATCTGGGAGTCAGTCACCGGAAATATCACGCCAGTGAAGCTGGCACAATCGATCCTTGGCAGTGTCCTCAGCAGGCCTGATAAAGCGCTCCACGCAGAATGGCTACGCCAAAAGGGAAGTAAGCGAACTCTTGGACTTCTAGTCACACTTTCTTCCCCATCAGACGTACATGAGATCTTGGAGCGGGCTGGCAGCATTCAAAAGGCTAACCCAATGATCAGGCGCCTATCCGAGTATTGTCCTCTAGACGCGCGAAAGCTTGGTCATAGCAGGTCAGGGGTGGAAGCACGAAACAGGCTTCCACCGGGCACCAATTCAGCCGACCCCAAACTCATGACGGAGCCGATTGTGGTCATATCCCCCTGTGTTCCCGAAAGCAGGCCGACGAAACCAGCTGCGTCTCCAGACAGCAGTTTTTATTCGACCACCACAGGTGTCTCGCCCACCAAAGGCAGGGATGCCCTGGAGGAGGCAAACCCCACATGCAAGCAGCGCCCAAACTACGTGGAGCTATCAACGCCTATCTCCGTATCAGAGGATACAGCTGCAGACGTGGGCTCCTCAACAAAGTCACAGCCTCTGAAATGGACTGAGTCAGATGTGCGGGGACAAGAAGCGAAGCCAATCTCCAGCTCCACTCCGTCAAAAGCGGCCTCTCTGCTTGTGGACAGCCTTCGCCCAGGACCCCGACAACCTAAGCCATAAGCATGACTACAGCCATCCGGAAAATCCCTCATACACCCAGTTGGCCACGCTGATCGCCGGCGGATCGAGTGTTCACACAAACACGAAAGAAAAGCGACTGCAGCCAAACAAGCCACATAAGATTCGCCAGATTAGAAAACTGCTGGCTGGCCTCAAGATACAGCCCTCCGCGAAAACGAGCCTCATGGGAGCGCCACCAAAAGCATTACTTTGTGGTGACGCCACCCAGCGCTCAGGGCCCCCATAGGGAAAAAACTCCGTCCCACAAAGCCAAAAGGCCCGAGCAAACCGAGCTCTCACGGAACGAAAAAACCTCGCAAGCGAAAAGCACCCCCAGAAGCCACGAAGACAGGAAGCAGACAACATCGCCCCAGGTGCCTATTTGGAGCCTTGGACTCTAACCCGGTGGACAACTATTAAGTCTGCTAACCACCCCGGTCACTCAACTTTCGGCTCCTTACCCGCGGAGGCAGCAGAGACAGTGTTGAAATGTCTGTCCACAAACTGCCTCAGCCTCTTCAACGAACTCGGCGATTTTAAACGGTCAGCTTGCATTGAGCAACCATCCACAATCGCATTCACAGATACCTGGCTCACATCAGATGTCTCCGACGCGGAGATCTCGATGGACAGTTACCCCATTTTTCGAGCTGACTCAAAACGAGGGAGGGCTGGCGGGGTTGCTCTGTACTTACATGCGGCCCTACCAACCCCGATTGTCCCCTCTGACACTACCCCTGCACAATTTGCGTTGCACTGTGGGTTCAAATCCCACTGTGCGTGTCCGATTCTCTCCTTCTCGGTGTGGTCTACCGTAGTCCTTCGAGTCCCCCTGAAGGTAACCAATTATTCATACAAACCCTTGAGCAACTCCTCCAACTACCACTTCGCTCATCTGCTGGTAGGTGAATTCAACGCCCCAAAGGCCTCCTCGATGGAGCTCTAGCGCGTTGAATCAGGACTTTTCGCAGCGGCGCTGTGTGAAATCGTTCTACAGAGCGCTTGGACTCAACATGTTGTTGCAACCACCAGATACCGCGCAGGTCAACTACCATCCCTCTTGGATTTGGTCATCACCAACGAAAGACACTTCGTTGATCAGGTAACAATTAACGCTCCACCGGGTCATAGCGACTACTGTGTGCTGACCTTCGATTTCATCTGCTATTGGGCCAGAAATCCCAAACCTCAAACGTTGTTCCGAGACTTCTGCCGTTCAGAATTCTCAGGAATACGCATCTTCCTTGAACAAGTCACACTGGGACCAGCTCCGGTGGAAGAACTGTATAGCACCATTGTCCAGAAATTTCACGAGGCTGACGCGACGTTCGTCCCAAAAATCCCTCACGCACTCTTATTAACCGGAGGATGCCAAAAAGGATTCGGCGACTTCTGGAAAAAAGGTCTCAACTCTTTTTCAAAAAGTTAACTACAGTAGATACAGAAGATGAGCTGGCATTTCGTAAAATGCGGAACCGCTGTAAATCGGAAATCTGCCAATGGAACATACAAAAACAAGCCACCATCCTGGATCTCGCTCGAAAAAGCAAAAACGTATTGTTCAAGTACATGAGAAATCGCCGCAGAAACAAGCCATCCGCGTTCTCCTTGAGGGCCAGAAACGGATAACCGACAAGTGACCCAACAGTGGTATCTGAGGTTTACAGAGAACACTATGCGCGTCTATGCTCAGCCCCAGCGTCCTCGTCACATCCACTCTTGTCAAGGCGAAACAACGAACAGCCTCTAAACGAGTTGGTCTTCGCGATGGAGGACATTCGCCAACTCTTGTAAAAGATCAACCCATTTTGCGCTTTGGGGCCCGATGAGGTCAATCCAAGGATCCTGAAGGAAACGTCCTCCACACTGGCGAACCATCTACACATAGCGTTTCGTCAGTCGCTTGACGGAAGCCGCCTTCCCCCTGCTTGGAAGGAAGCGATTGTCACGCCAATCTACAAAACTGGTGACTGACTATCGCCTGGCAGCTATAGGCCCATAAGCCTCACTAGTGCGCCGTGCAAGGTGATGGAATGCATTCTGAAGCGAACTATCGTAGATCGCCTTACTTCCGGCAATCTGATATCTCCAGCTCAACACGGATTTCTCCCAAACCGTTCTTGCGTGACAAACATGCTCGTGTTTATGGACAGCTTAACCCAAGCCAAGGACGAAGGACTCATATCGGATGCCATATTTTTCGACTTCTCAAAAGCATTTGATAGGGTCCCACACGTCCCGCTGCTCCACAAACTCGAGTCTTACGGGATTCAAGGGAAAATCCTTCGCTGGATCAAGGCGTTCCTATCAGACAGGTCATTCCGAGTGAGAATAGGCTCAACCTATTCCTCTCCAGCGCCGGTCTCCATTGGAGTTCCTCAAGGCTCCGTCTTGGGACCACTCCTGTTTCTGATCTACGTCAACGACCTCCCAGACGTTCTTGCGAGTCCATGTTTACTTTTTGCGGACGACTTGAAATCCTGGAGTTCCAATGCCAGCGCCCTCCAAATGGATGTAGACGCTGCCAAGCAGTGGTCGTTGGACTGGCACCTTCCTCTGAATGATGAAAAGTGCGTCCATGTGTCGTTTGGAGGGGATTCAGCGAATGCCTTTGTTATGCATGGTGAAAAGGGACCAGAAAACATCATGAGGATAGATGCCAAAAAAGATTTAGGCATCTGGGTCTCCTCAAACTTGTCCTTCGCACTACACCATGAGAAATCGGCCCAAAAGGCATTCGCCGTTTTACGGATGATCCGACGTACCTTCTCCCGTATTACTCGCATGGACTTCCAAATACTCTATGGGGCCTACGTCAGACCGCTCCTGGAGTACGCCAACCAAGTTGTCTACTCAGGACGTACGAAAGACGTTACCCTCATTGAGCGTGTCCAGCGGGCCGCCACGAGAATGGTTGCCGGCCTCAAGTCCGTGGACTACGAAACGCGTCTCGCGACGCTTGATCTCTTTCCCCTGGAGTACCGTCGCCTCCGAGGGGACCTAATTCTTACCTACGCCCTGTTTGAACAAAGCTTGGCAAACAGGTTTTTTACCGTTGACCCAGCAAACACCCGGCGGGGACATAGTAAGAAAATCTTCAAGCTCAGGGCACACACATCCGTTAGACAAAACTTTTTTTCATTTCGGGTAGTAGCTGCGTGGAATGACCTTCCTCCGACGGTTGTACACGCTCCTTCTCGAACCCAATTTAAAGCACTATTAGACATTTATTTATGCGAATCCTCGCGCTGGCGAGCATACTGCCCCGCGCTGAGAACATAAAGAGCAGTGCTACACCCTTTTTTTACTTGTGCCTTTCAGGCGAACGACAGCCACTGACCGACAAGAACAAGAGCGACCCGGGAAACTTGGGCAAAAGCCTCGATCCTGTGTATCAATCCGTGAATCCGTGCCCAACCACCTCCGACCTTTGGGCATCTGTCGGGAATCCTGTTCTCTTCTCATGAGTTGAGCTGACTGGATGACCTTGGTGGCCGCGGCTTTATCATATTTCAATTGAAATCGTGTGAGGCCTTGGGCATCTGTTCGGAATCCTGTTCTCTTCTCATGAGTTGAGCTGACTGGATGACCTTGGTGGCCGCGGCTTTATCATATTTCAATTGAAATCCGTGTGAGGCCCTTGATAGTCCCAATGCTTGGCAAGAACTTAGCTGGGAGATGACGGTGATGCAGACCATCTGCGGATCGCAAAAGAATTTTGGACTTCCCTCATACATGAACATTTGAGGGGGATCTTGTATCGATGCAGCACGACAACGAAGATTGATGTCCCACAAGCAGTGGAATTTGAGCGTCGTTGTTCGGCGGATATCTGTGTATTGGAAACCTACCCCAATATCAGGAGATATTGCCTGTTGAAATAGAGCAAAGGATGCACTCCTCAACTGCATACTTGTGCGAGCTTGTAGTTTGGTTGCATGTTATTTCGATGTGTTACTCCTCAGAGCCTAGATTAGGAAACCTATTTATTGAATACGAACTGTTGTCTTATCCTACAGCGCCACTGGTTGCTCAACACAAAAGAGTGCGAAGAAATGCAAGGACCGTTAGCGCTGCTGCCGTTCGGCTCCCCTTGCTCACATCGAAACGAAATCTTACGCTGGTGCTTTTTCCGGATGTTGATCTGATCGGCGCATCTGCGCGGTTGACTGTTGGTGGGGTAGATCATCCCAAGGGTCTTTCAGGTTTCGCTGATTATATATATCGTGGTTATGTAGATTCTTATCCAAGAAGCATTGTGTTCGGTAGCATCATCCAAGGTGTGTTTCGTGGTACGGTTTCTTTGGATATGTCTTTGCGTGACACCTTCTATATCGAACCAGCCGCAAATTACTTCGATTACAAAACAAACTTTCATTCCATTATGTATCACGAGCAGCATGTGAAATTTGATGGAAATAGGCGTGTAAGGCGCAGTACCACTGACACCGACACTTTCAACTTCTGCGGACTTTCAAATCCAGATATCGCTCGGCGGATGGCGGAACTACGATCGCCGATTTCCGGAGTTGATGTGAACACTATCCGTAAGTCACGGTATCGATTCTGAAGGGTTATATTCCTGTTGGACTAGAAAATTCTAACCTGACCGCTGTGACCGAACTTTAAGATGCACAACGATGCTCTATTCGGCAGCTATGCCCCCGAAGATTACCACAGCTTTACGATTGTTCAATATTTCCGCGTCTAATTTACCCAGCTACTATACCAGGACTCAGGTTTAAGGGACATTATAGCTGACTACACGCCTTCGATGATCGCCGTCGCTTTGTGCATGAATCTTTCCGCCGTGCCGTCACTGGCTGCCTAGCATATTTCAATTGAGTTTAACAATAGTTCGGGTCGCTACAACACGTGTCAGGTATTTTTCGTAGACTGGAGAGTAGGTCGCGAATCACGAAAAGCAAAAAAAGAAGGAGGAACAATGGGCTTATTGTAGAAAACAGATTACATGCAATAGCATCACCGGCTGCAGGTACGTTGTTTCAGTCATCAATGGGATGGTTCCGTGGTACCTCAACCTTATAACAGCGCGCCTGTGTTCCGCTGCTATCTGGCCTTGTGTTCCCCACCTTAGAGACTTCTAACAGTTGTGAACGGGCGCTCTTTCCTTCGGGTGGCATGTCAGATGGACACCGAAAGAATGGTTTTGGTCGTAAGAAGCACATGACCCAACCGACTTAGCTGTTGAAGTCATATGAAGTCATCGAATGCAACAGTTGCCAATTTTTGGCCAAAAACTACTCGCCTCATTTCAGTATTGCCGTTTGGATGTGCTGATGACACACGCACTGGTTTTAGGGCACAAATAATTACACAGCGACCGAGCCTCACATCCAAAACGCGAGGCTGAATGCACCACCGTGCCGCGTACTCACCGAAGACGTATGTCCAGTCTTGTGCTTAAGATGGAGACAAGCAAGACAGCCTTTAGTTCCACTGCACACCTACCATCCGACAGAATACAACCACGAACAACCTTGTCCATTACCTGTAGAAATCTAAGTGTCACGATGGATCCTGCTGTTGTATTCACCTGGTTTTTCAATCAGTTTTCTCTTCGAAAGTGCAAAATGCGCACCGGGTAGATTAGTGACATTATTTGGATCACTGAACATATTTAGCGTTTGGTTGGAATTTGGGATGTTGTCTGCATACTCTTCGGAGCTATAGACAACGCAGGCTTCGATAACTCACTTGATACAGATTGGACAGAAAAAGCGCTAAAGGAGAGCGTTGACTTTTTATTCGAACCTCTGCGTGCATGCGGCTGTTGGAATACGAGGACTGAAGAAATGTCTTTAGAATCCTTTTAATGGTGAAACATTGCGACGAGGCATCATGGTTTTCCGAGCTTAGTTTACGGGATAATAGTTGTTCGTTTTATGTGTCTGCGCGGCGTTCTAAGAGTAAGGGTATTGCAGATGGCCTGCTTGGTATTTACTTTATTGAAGCGATTACTGGCGAGCTTGCATACGCGGATGTCTGCTGGAGTCTAAACGTGATGGTCTCGAAAGTGACTCCTCGGTGACTGGCACGTTACGTTCGAGTGCTTTTTTGACAAGCAGAGGTTCGGTAGAGATCTGTGACTTCCATGGCACTCTACAAAGCGCCATTCAAGTGTTTTGAATGAGTTGTGTCAGGTGACATGGATTTCTACATCTTTGAAAGGAAGGGGAAGATGCTGTTTTCTCAGGGTTGGTTTTGTTTCTGATTGTAGCTGAGTAATCTACGATTCTGTGAAGAATTTGCCAGAGACTACTTAGATTATTCTTCGAATCGCTTGTGATAATTATTAATTGGCATTTTTCGACTCAATGTTGCGGATAAACGGGGTCCTCTTTCGTCTTTTCCAATCGCCCTTTCTATCCATGCTCCGGATTATTTTTGAGTTGGTGGACTTCCCGATGCCTCAGAGTTTTTCGTGCTCTATCGTGTAATACACTTTAAGGTACTGTTTCCTAGATTCGGTCAAGGCTTTGGAGCGTTTTGTGATCCAACCTGGCGTGGATCTCTGTTTAGTTTTATGGACTTGCTGATTCCATTGCATTTCCTGTTCTGCTTGTTTTTTTGGTGTTTTGATTAGTATCCTGGAAGGATATAGCCGGCTGTTGCTGGTAGACTTCTATATGACTGAGTATTTCAGGTGCAGTATTGAATCTGAGAGTCGTGCTCCTCACAGGCGGGAGGGGCCTTGCCCGAACAAGGACATGGTCTGAGCCTGCATCCTTGACGGGTTACTGAACTCGGGAAAGCTTGGTGGTTAGGTTGCAAGCTGCCGACCTGGATGTCCACGGTTCGAATCATACCTGGGCTTTTCCGTTGCTTTTCTGCTGACTGGGATAACATGACAGTATCTTGCACTTGGCTGCATGGTAGCTATGTACCGGAATGCACGATTTGCTTCTGGAAAATGGCAAGCAGTTAAGAATAGATAAAACATATATAGCATATAGTATTCTGCCTAGTGATAGTGTGCTCCACACCTACGAGATGCCGGTTATGTTTAAGATGACATTTCAAAACTTTTCGACCGTCAACAAAGGCTTTGGTTCCGACTAAAACCATTCATCTACAATCCATTGAGCCTTCTGGTCGCCGTTTCTGCTATCTTTCGCCCACAATTGTTTTACTTTGTTCAACCTAACGATCTCTTATTCGAACACATACGGCTAAAAATCATTATTTTATGAATATGTCGCTATAAAGTTTCGATGATTGCATAGTTTTTTTTCAATGTTAAGGTGTATGCCCATGTGTTGTGGTTTTTTGGTCACCACAGAAGCATATTTTAAACTAAGTCTTAATTAGACATACATCGACACAGCTATTTAATGTAGTACTTCAGCAGAATCTTTGTTTATTTGCTACGCTGCGAATTTCGTTTCATTCACTTACATGATAATCTAGTAATAGTAATAATAATCTAGTAATAATCTAGTAGCAATCTAGTACAAAATATAGTTTATTCTGGCTTCCATTCGTTTCCCATTACCAGCTAGAAGATCTCGGCGTGCTGCAGCCCTGCAACCTCTCAACGTGGAACTCGGTGCATCTCGACTGCATCCAGACTTTCAGCGCGGCCACCCTAGTGCTTTTACCGATTACCGTCTTGTGAACCCCTATACTCAACGTCAGTCTGCACCAGTTGATGGCGCGAACACACGCGTATGCAACCTTTATTTACAGTCAGATACATTTTTATGGGACAGGGTAATTGGGATGCAACACATTCGCGGTAACAGGGAACTCGCAGTGCAAGAAATCACCTCAATTTTCACCCAGCACGTTCAAGGAGCGCAAGCCATTTATCAGCACACGTTATTTCGTGATCATGCCGTGAGTGATCTCTGAATGGACGGTTTCAGTTGGTCCATGACTTCAGGTTTTGTTTTCTCTGATGATTAATTTAAAAAAAAATGAAAAGCAGTTTACCTCATTTAATGACAGGACGCGTAACTAACCGTGTAAGGGAATCCAAGCGCAAATGCCTTGTAGCTCACTGATCGACCCCATGTGTTGTCATACGTAACATGATATTGAGTGCCTTTGGTCATTGAGCGGTTTGCATCCATGTTCGGCCACCAGGCGCTTATTTCCAGTTGCTTTGCTGTGGATGCTTTGCGTAGTGGTCCAAACTAACAAGGAAAATGTAAACTCCGAAGGACCAAAATCACTCGACAGAGTCAGTGTCCTGCCATGGACCACCACACAGCTAATGGCGCTCTCCATTTCTCTGGATACTGTCCTGGACAAGCGACTATCTTAAGATTCGACGGGGCGAACACTTTGGGCGTGTTTTCGAATTGAATCAAGTCGAATCCTTCAGCTATAGCACACTTTCGGTACCTAGCTGCTATGTCAACGGAAGGGCGTATTTTACATGTGGCATGAGTAGTCCTAGGCGAATGCAGGCCAATACTGCGCTCATGTTTCTTCGACCTTCTAGTATGTTCGGGGATGATCAGCGGAATAAATGGAACTGGACTGTTTTTAACCGTACCCAGTTGTGCTGGTTACGTTAATCCTCTAGGCCCGAAACCCTTCTTGGATAAGAATAGTTGTTATTATTTGAAGGGGGGCGAGATGGCTCAAGTGGTTAGAGCGCGAATTTACTGACCGGAAGGTCCGTGGTTCGAACCCGACCTCCGCCACTCGACTTCCCCTGTCTAGGCTTGGGCAACCTGACAGTATCCCAGCCCTCGTGCTTCCTTCGGGTGGCATGGCAGCTAGGCACCGAGAGGGCGCTACAGCTGAACGATTTTTTTATTATTATTTGAAGAACGGCTTGTTACGACTTAATTCTAACTGTCACTCGGCTCATTTTCGTGCTTTATTCGTTCAACATTTTTCGCGTTGCTGAATGTCATTTTATCGCTCTGAACTGCTCCTTTCACTGGTGAATTCTACGTGGGAGGCAGAACATTTGAGCAATATTGTGTTGCTTGCTATTCAACATACCCTGTTCTGAGGTTCCTAGACAGGGTACGCAATATTGCATGCACATCAGTTGGAGCTGTGCACCTTAACTTGGTTTCTTCTTAGCAGCTCAACCAATGGTGTTTTACAGGTAGAGCAACTCGAAGCCTGTGAATCTTGTGTCTCAAACACACTTTCAGACACCCGAAGAGAGATGCATCACAAACAGCATCGAAATTCCATCTGAAAAAATAAATTCCTCCTGATTTTGTATTGTTGCTATTAGGTCCCTATCAGAAGAGACCACTTGGTCGATTTCTTTAAGTAGCTTTTTCAGAGGGAGTGAGTTTGACGTTTGAGCTTCTTACCCAAAGAGCTGTAATTTGAATTCAACCCTGGGACTTTTATTGTATCCATGTAGGCGTGGGTAATCGGCGGTAGCTTGGCCTTTCCTCTAGGCTGCACGGCATTCACATGACAAAATCTTCACAGCCTAGTAACTCTTTTGTTGTGTGGACAACAATCCTGGTTCCTGTCCCGTGAAATGCTATACAGGAGAGATTTCGGAGACCTGCAAAATGTATAGAGGTAGTTCGTGAAGAAAAGAAAGCCTTTAATTCCATTGATATGGACTTGGAGCAACGCAGTGGGATAGTAAAATGGCACCCGGTGAAGTCATCATAATGAAAGGCGAATCGTGCCCACGACACAGTTACTTGGCCATAGCTTCTATACTCTTGTGTTGAATAACGCGTTACTCGCCTGTTTGTTTACCGTTAAATATGATGTGGGCAGCAGCGTGGCTGCCGAAAACTTGTAACTCAATACTCTTATGAGTTGAGCAGTAATGGTAGGCTACAACGATGACGGTAATGAAGGAATCGATGGGTGCAACTCAAGTGGTGTCAGTTCGTTCACCGAATTGTTCGACCAGCAGTATAAGAGCACCCTCTTGTACATATGCCCACAGGCTTTCACAAAACGTTTGATCGCGACGTCTGGTATTCCGTCTCATCACTCGGTATCTGACCTCCAAACCGACGTCCTTAGAACCCCCACCATTAGTTCCAGTCTTTTTGGCCAGTAGGACAGGTTGCTGCCATACCGAAATTGGACATGGGAGGCAGCAGACCGACAAAGTCGGCGAGTGCATTGATGCTATTACGGTATGTGTGGATAATTGCAGCGAGTACTCATTTTAGTTAACGTGGACGTACGATATGGTAAGGGCTTGGAGACGTGCTACGTGCCTGACCTAACCAAAGACCATCAGAATTGGTTTCCTGAAGCCACTATCGAATACTTTTGTATATTGAATACTTTTGCCATTCGCCAAACACTCGGCGCCGGTACAAGTAAGTTCCTCAAGTGCTGGTAGTTGGCCTTTGAAAATGAACTTCCGACAGTCCGTTCCATTCTGCACACTGGCACGGAACTAGTCGATGTTTGTATGTTACTTGGCTTTGGTTATCCAAATCTGGCTTTCACATTCAACCTTAGTAAGGTCTACGCCTCAAGTATAGACTCATCACTAGGTTCCTGAAAGGGGTCACGACCACCTCATTCACCATTCCGATGTCGTCGCTTATCAGCGTTTTCCTAGAACGGAAAGTGCGAATATAAGGGGGCTAAACTGTATGTATCGGTATCACGTAAAACAAGACACTCGAACTTCGTAGCTGTGATATAGTGTTGAAGGACGGCGACTCGACCAAAGGCTACCACTTTGATGTGAAGATCAGGCTTTAGCGTTAAAATTAACTCAAAGGTTTTACCGATTAAGACATGACAGGAAAGCCCGAACGAATTAACTACATAAAGCTCCGTAAATTGTCTTCGCCAAATGACCAGCACTCTCGTGGTTTTGGAAGCATTTGCTCTGCCTTTCTTGAGGAAGAGCTGTTTAAAAAAGATCGGCCCTAAAGAGTTCACTCTCCGATCACCCTACGGTAGGCGTAGGATATTCTGACCGGAAGGTCCGTGGTTTGAACCCAATCCCAACCATCTCGATTGCTCCTGTCTAGGCTTGGGCAATCTGGTAGTATCTCCTTCCGATGGCATGGCAGCTAGGCCACAGAGGGTTGTTAAAGCCGATTGATGTTTTGCTTATTAGACCATGATAGCCGCTGCGTTATCTGATACGGCCGAAGAGCCTGCTGCGCGTGAAGACATCGAAGATCAGGCATTCTTGCCTTACTCTCTGTGCCGTTGATTTGGGCCCATGCACTAGAGTTTTCTATGTGGACTTCTTATACCTCATGGGCCAAGTGTTGCAGGTGTTACTATTCGGAGTGACCTGTATTTACGGACAGTTTTTAAACGGGACAAGTTCTAGAAAGGATTCTGTGTTGTTTGCAGATAAAAGTATCTTATACTAATATGTTCTAATAGCTTATATAACCGAATCGTTGTGCGAGACCGTTCGGTATGAGTTCGGCGCCCGGTCGTGTCGTTAGCTGATCCTCACAGGAGTGAGTGGCGTTGAAAATCCGTGTTACTGATGTTAATGACCATCAGCCACTTTGTAAGGCTGGATGAGTAGGGGGCCATTCAGAACTTGCAGCAGATTTCAAGACTAGGCTGTCAGCCAATCACTTTCCGAATCGTGTTCAAAGTCTGCTGACCAATGGTCCAAGCATTTTACACTGTACGATTAAGCGTCAACGATAGCTAAAGCATTCATTCAACAAGCTTCATTTGTTGTCGGCGGCGGTGGCGCTTCTAGGGATTAATTTTCTGAAACCCCCTTTTATCATCCAAACATAAGTCCTCATTTTTCTCCTCCTTCAGGCTACCCACTTGCCTTGATTGTTGCGGATTTCCGAAGCTGCGCTTATCGTTTCTTGCATATCGGATCTACGGTTATCTTGCTTTTCCTAACTGCATACACGTATTCCCGCTGGCACCTCTCACCCTCCGATTCGACTCGGCTGCAAAATCAAGCAGTCGAATAGTAAGCCCTTTGAAACCTCTTCCTGCTCGTACTTCACCATACAGCTCGCCACCTCACCAGTATTAAGGCCATTATAGTGGAATTTCGGCGAATTCTCCTTTTAAGCCCTTCTGTAGCCGTCTTTATAGTGGTAAATCTGTGTGATTGAGTGGGAGTTCCTTGCCGAAAGGTGCCCACTTGACAGTGTTTCCACTCACTGAGAGTTGGATTCCGGCTGAGTGTTGTTTGTGCATTGAAGTTAGGATTTTTGAGTATTATTTCATCGCTTCATCCAGTGCACGTAATGGAGCTGAACTACATTCATTAGCTCAGTTGTAAACAAAATGTCTTTGTCAGGTCCACTTGGGTTCAACGGTCGCGCTACCCAAAACGTATCGCCGCGTTGTTTGTAGAACCAGTGTGGAAACATCTATACCCTCCGGTATTGTTGTATGGGGGGATCTTTTACACCACAGTAAAAAAAGAGGGGAAGGTTTGCAGAAATAGCACTTTCCGTGTTAACTGGACATGAGTTTACGGACAGTTATGAACCAAGACTGTTTCTTCAGGTATAATGTCGGACTACGCAGTGTAGAATGACCCACACAACCCTTGCATGCATGTATTATCATCGCACTGAATTTACGGGGTTAGGCGACCAATGTAAGCAACGGTGAAATTATCTGACTCGCAAGTAAATAAACACGCGTCCGCAGCGCACGGTCTGTCGCATCAATACAGTACTGTGTTGGCACTGACGTCAACAAGTGACACGCACTCGCATTCAAATCACAAGAGTGAAGTAGTAGTCAGTGAAGCCAAGCGGACGAAGGACACATCGACCAGTGCACCTCTTTCTGTCTGCCTAGGGTCGGGCAACCTGGCCCTTTCTCAGCTCTCGTACTTCTTTCGGATGTCATGAAAGCTATGCACTGGAAGGATGTTACCGTTGAGCGATCGTTATTAATATTATTCTCTGTCTGCCAACTTATTCTTGATACTTTCAAAAATGCTAACCCACCAATTATTGATTTTGAAGATGAACTGATGAGGGACCTCAGTGGGCCCAAATAGTCCAACATGGTGAGGACAGGGAAATCCGTGTTTCAAAAAAAACGGACGCCATTGCGGAATCATGTGTACGTTCTTGTGTTCAAGGAAGAATGCGCATGGAAGATGCTATCACTGTGACGGAGAGTCTAGCGGGTTATGCTATACCATGGGACATTCGGACATTTGGATTGTTCATAGGGCCATCCTTATTGACGATCTGCTTAGTATTTCGTACTTACAACGAAGGCACCTTTGTAGTACTGTGAGATCGGCTTGTCATGATCCGTAAGAGTTCTAATCCTGGCTGAATGTGCAATTAAAAAATGAGTCATTTATGAACCCGTGAGATACAGAAACACGTGGACTCATTTTCCTTTCGGCTCAGTCGCCTCGGTGTGTTCAGACGTGGTCCCAGTTGGTTCGTTCTGTCAATTGCGGACCAATTCGCAACAGACGAGATCAACTTGCCATCATTTATGATTTTTTAGACAAGTGGATGTAGCACTCACTAATGCTCACTGTTTGAGGAATACCGATTAAGACTCCTTTTGATCAATGCAATAATTAGTGAACAGATGTAAAAGTAATAAAAATGACCACCTGGTTTTTTGCACCCATACACCTATATTCAAATTGACCTTGTCGATTTCAACGAAACAGTCTTATGGCGAACAACCAATCAGGATGAAATCCACATGTACCGTTCCAGCTTTTCTCATTTGAATAGAAATCTGTTTCAGTTTACGCTTGTTCCGGACTAAGTTGGCTGAATGTTGGTGTCTCGGACATGAATGATAGATCATTAAGCAAGATTCTGTACCAGAATAGTATGCTTGTCATGATTTTACGGTAGACGACACGGGGATACTTGCGTTTTCCCCAGGGCTAACCAATAATAGTAGCAATTTTTCAAGACCGAGTAGGGGTTTGTAGTGTCCACGCGTCCAGACACGTGGTTAACATCCAAGAGGCCTCAACTGTTGGATGCTTCCATTTATCTTCCGAAAAGTATCCAGTCGTTCACGCCGAAAAAAGGTACTAGATTTTACCCATACTGGGTTCTCATAATTAAGTTTCTACCAAATAGTACAAAATTATGGCTATGGATTGGGAAGTTTTCCGTTCGTTGTACGTAACCCCGTTAAGGGAGCATAATTTCTTACTCCCGCTGTGACCAATAAACCGGTTCGTTTTGCCCTTAGGGACGCTTGGAATATCCCGGAATCAGCTTCCGTGTGGATCACGTATTGATCAATGTAACGGAGGAAGATTGCAAGCCAAGACCCATCTGGCGTGACCTTCACGGTCGTCCACTACCTTCGCCCACGGCTCTACCCCGTCGTCCAGGTCAAGACAAGCCCTCTGTCTCCAACACATCAGTTTCTCGAGGCAGTTATGCGGACGAGAATCCGTTTTGTGCGGAAAATATAGATGTAACGAACTATTTGAATCTGCACTCATACACCCCACACGATGACTTTTGTCTGGCCTACGTTTTCACATACCGTGACTTTTCCGGTGGAACTCTGGGACTTGCCTGGGTGGCCGAACCGAACGGATCGGGCGGAGTTTGTGAAAAACATCGCTTGATGCGTGAAGGTAGTCACAATGTGTTCAAAAGTTTAAACACCGGAGTCGTGACATTACTCAACTATGGTTCTCAGGTGAGTTCCTTATTCTGGCCTGGTTTCTGAATCCGTTTCTTAGGCAAACAATCAGTGTCTACATCTACATTTTCATTCGATTGCAGGTCGCCCTAAAAGTTTCCCAACTCACATTCGCCCATGAGATGGGCCACAATTTCGGCGCGAAGCATGACGATGATCACAAGGACGAACCATTTGGTTGCTTACCCTCGGTGGATGATCCTCGTGGGAATTACATCATGTTCGCCAGCGCCACCAGCGGCGACAAAGATAATAATAATAAATTCTCCCTGTGCTCGTTGGATTCTATCGCCCGCCTTCTAGGTCGCGTTTTATCGGTAAGTACCCACCGGCCAATTTCAACAAAAACCCGGAAAGGAGGAGCGTTTTGAACGTTTTGCAAGGAGTCTTTATATTTCTGGGATACAGATAGCAAGGCATTCTAAAACTACAGAGATAAACACATCTATTCACTACGCTGGAGCGAGAAGCATTTAGTGGGATTGACCAGCTACCATTCGCCCAACACACGGTAATAGAAAAGTACAGTCCAGCTAGGGGTGATAGGTTGGTCGCAACCAAGATCGCTTACCTGCAAGATTATCAATCATTGCGCAACGGGAATCACGTGGAATCCGTTGGGGCAGGGACGAAGGTCTCACGGCACTCAAACTAACCGTAAGTCACCGTTTCGCATCACCACGTCCGGTCCTGTCCGCCGCAAACCCTTCGCCAACACGAGTTTAGAGTTTGCTGCTAAGGACGAAGCCTTCTTTGATAGACGGTGGTCGACAATACGTACTGGACGCCTTGAACACTGTCCTGACAAGTTTTATCTGCTGCGTGAGTGATTCCGATTCAGTACCCAGTTCTAATCTGCAGGTAATTTCCTATGGACATATTGCAGTCAGCTAACGCTACATATGCATTGGTGATTAAATAGTCACTGTCCTTCGCATCAAAGAATTTGAATAAAAGGAATACCTGATTCGAGCTGACACCCAATTTTTGAGCCGGGTTCAACATAATCTCTTGGTTCAGGTGAACGGTTTGGGGCCAGGTAGCTGACGATTGGCTGGCAGGACTAAGAAGTGTGGACGTATAGGGTAAAGAACAGTGGGGGTGAACAAAATAAGGAAAGTGACTAAACCGGACCAATTGAGCAGAAAGTATGGAGGGGCTATCCTGCCTGATCAAGGTGATTAGATTTGTGTCTTCAGGCCCTATAGTCTAAATGACGCCGTTTGCCATGATGATACTGCTAATTGGCGCCTGTTTTGCTGTTTCGTCCACCAGAGAAATGTTACTATTATTGAATTTTTCCTCTGATGGTGTAGTATCCGCGTACACATCTCCGATCTGTACAGCCGGTTTATTTCTCTGGCTAGTTGCCTAGCTCGTAACCATGACAACCGCTCCAAATTCTCCCCGCTTGTTCCGTCAAACTCTTGTGATACTGTGTCGACTGGAGAAAGTGTGTCAACACCTGCAAATGTTTAGATGCACTGATTTCAGTTTTTTTTGCATCTCGTTAAGGACGGAACACAAGACTGAGGGGGATCTTTCGATCTGCTATTTGCTGGAGCGAGATGACCAGTCATTGTCTATGCTTCTTGAGCCACATCGTCCTCCTTTCGCCATAAACGAACTGCTCTTTTCTTTTCTTGTGTCACGGGACTACTCTAGTGTGCCCATGCTATCGCAGCACATGATGAGGCCACACGTGGTGTGTACCTATGATCGCATCACCAGGACTGTCTAATGATTTACCTCGTGAACCTGACGGGAATGTTTGGAGAAACAGCTAAACTAAAGCTTGTTACTCGTAACAGCACATGGTTGAACTTGCGCTGACTCCGTCGTATGACGACTTGATCAATTGACTGGTTGTTCATCTGATCTCCGTTTATACTTTGTCAATTCGTTGGGGCTTTCCTCGCTCAGTTATTGTGCCTACTAACTGTCCTGGGGGTCCAGAGAGTGATGTACAAACGATCGAGTACTCCGCGGTTAACCCAAAGTTTCAAATTAGAACTCCGTCTCGATGAATAGCTGGGCAACGTGTTCATCATTACGGTTGATGCACTAACCGTTTAAGATTGTGACCGAACCGTGACTCGTACGTCTTTCGTGCACCTTGGTCGGTAAAGTGCTGAAAGGCAAACAACCCCTTTTTGTGCTTTCGAGCCCTCCTTTTCTTCCCATCAAGACATCGTAAAGCATTGTTCACGAGGAAATCCATCAGCAGCTGCCACTATGCGACATTTTTTCGCGGTTTCGTGGGTATCGTAGTCTGTAATACTAGTCGGCTTAAGGAATCTGGTCTGGTTTGGTTAATCGTCATTTTTTCTGGGCGTTTTGTGCAGCTTATAAATCCGTTTCAGGTCATCTTTATTGGTGTGAACAAACATCCTCTGTTATCAGGTGTCTGCGTAACTGACTCACCGCTTCTTGCTTGCTTGGTTAAACTTCTCTGTACCCTTACCCTATCACTGTGCGTGCAACATGCAAGGTCTTCCTTTGTTTTGGCTACTCAAGATTTTAGGGGGGAATGGACAATTGTGGTCAGCTGTTTGCTTTCGTGAAGTGATTTGTTACGCCTAGTTAGATTTTTTATCCTAGCCAGTCCAACGGTTGACGGTGTTGAAAGGGCACGTAGTCGACACTGTGTATGCCCACCTAAATAGCCTCAATGAGGTCAAATGGGTCCTTGTAGCCAAAAGTCCCCCACTGCACCCTTCTGTCAATGAGTAACGTTAAAATGGTGCCGCGTTCTGTTAGTACGCCTACTCATCTAATGACCCATCCAGTTTTTCCTAATCATCATCAGAGACAGGAACATCTGTGTCGATAATGGTGATTCACTACCGTGCAGCCACAAAGTTCATTTAACTATATTTAGAGCCTTAAGTTGAAGAAAAGATACAAGAGTAAATGCGGAGGCGAGTTGGTGCTAGCCTACCGAAAGTAGTCTGATGTACATTAACCACCAGGCATTCACTCAAACAAGGTGGAAAGCAATGGCGGCACGAGTGCCACCAATATCTCCAGCTAAGCAGGGCAGATGCCATAGGGAACCCATCTCAGAAGACGGATTGGACCGTCAACACGTAAAGTCTGTATCTTCCAAGTCACCTTGTTCACCTCGCAGTTTGCACCATCCATACGGAGACTCGAAGAATAAACTTCGTCTTGGTATACGACGTTTTGACGTGTGTAGCACATGACCGAGCCATCGTAACAGTTGATTTTGAATGTTTTCCGCGACTGAAGTATGTACTACGCAATCAAATAACCGTTTTCTGATTACCCCGTTACTAATTCGTCGGAGCCGTCTGATACCAGCAATACTTCTGAGACGTCAGTAATTAAAAACCTGAAGACGCTTCAGATCATGTGTCCGTGGAGACCGTGTCTCACAGCCGCACAACAATACACCTCTTGCTATAGCCTAGTACACAACCCTTGAGGGTTGCTGTCATCACAAGTGACGCAAATAGGCAAACCTGACCGGGCCTTCTAGGTTGCGCAGCAATTTCATCAGACACATTTCCATCAGAGCGAATACAATACAACTGCCAAGGTATGTAGAATCGTCCAACATACCCAGTACTCTTCCTTGAATTGCAAGGGGCGTGTTCAGAAACTGTGCTGTTCTGGAGTATGAATTTGCACTGCGAAGCGCATGCTGAAAGATGGTGCGATGGTCAATTTGTTCAACAGCGCATGGCCTTCTTCCTCGACTTTAATGATGATGTATTTTTTTTACTCTAGATCGTCGAAGATTCTCACTAGCAACGATTTGAATACCGGGATTTTCGAAGACCCTTCACAGTACGCGGCATTATTCAATCGATGATGAATTTGAGCGGAAATGGAGAGAATGATTATCTTTTATAAGACACCGTTTTTTGTAGGGAATTTTTTAGAAAGATGCCCATCCACTCCGGCGGAAGCACGCGAATACAGAAACTGAATGAGGTTCACGTACTTCTAGGGTCTTCCGTTGAGCAAGCACAATTAGGAGCACTGACCGACCGACAAAATCTGACACACTTTTGGTTGTAGGTTGCCTATGCATACAACTTTGTTCTAACACTTGATAGAGTGTGAAGATGTAGTCGATCCAATCTCTCTCCGTTTGGCAGTGAAGGTTTCGCATACCATCGTAAGAAGACGAAGAATCAGGGGTGCCAGAAACCTTGTTATAATAGGAGACAAACTGACACCTCGGTGATCACTACATTCACAACGAGTACCCTCCTTGAATTCACTTGTCTGGGACGGTCTCATTCGCCCAGATATACCCAAATATGCTAGACGAACGCGGACTGAGGAATTCACCACAACCCTTGAACGGAGTAGGTGGCTGCCCGTTGGAACTGGGAGCACAGTGACCCATCCGTCGTACCAGAGCGACAAATGAGTCATGCTGACAACCCAAGACTGTCAAGTTCACGACGGACCCCTTTTTTGAAGACGAGTACCATTACCGACTCATCGCACTCGTCCCGGACGTTTTCCTTTGTTCTAAATGACCAGCCAATCGGTGGCTAAGAACCTCACCCTTTCGAAATTTCAGGTGGAAAGCTCTGTGGATCATGAGCTCGGTGGCGCTTGAGTGAATATATGCAGTCATAAACCTATGAGGTCGTAGAGCACTCTAGGTTCAATGTCCAGGTTTCTGCTGCGGTTGGAGGATCCGAATGAGTAGCGGCAGGTGGTCACGAGGATTTATATTCTAATTACTCGACTTAGTAGTTAGGGTGATGACGTCAGTTTTGGTGGTTTCGCTCACAGGCGGTCCTCCGGGGCCGGTGTCTCAAATAAACCGAAATAATCTTCTGGCGTTCCAGGCATTCTCCGCCTTTCCCATTTCCCTAGCCTTCGGCTAAACTGCTGCCCATTTATATCCTGCGGTGGACAGCTCCTCCCAACTCCAATCAGGATTAGCTACGATAACTCTCGTTACGAGCTCAGTAAAGGTCAACTTTTGGACTATTATCCGTTTTCCGCCCCCTCCCTCTACTGGTTATTTAAACTTTACTACTCTCATGCCATCATGATCCTTTTCCCCACCCCCTTCTCTTTTTAGGACGATTCGAATTGCTTCCTAAAATCCGACGGGCCATTCTGTGGTAATCAGTTGACTGAAGAAGGAGAGCAGTGCGATTGTGGTTTTACAAAATCTAGTTGCCGAGATCAGTGCTGTCATCCGAAAGAGTCCACCTCTCCCTGCAAGCTACGCGATACCGTATGGGTTAACGATTCCTCTCTGCAGGTAATGTTATCAAAGTTTGACTTGTGTTTTGTACTTTTCAACCATCTATGCTCTTTTGTTTGGTCATAAACTAGTATGCTAAAATAACGGCGCCGTCTTGGTTCAATTATCTGTCCAACTGTTGCGAGCTTGCCGTTTTGGTGAGAAAACACAGTTGTGCCAACTGTATTGAACGCATCAGTGGCTTGGAAACCCAAATCTAAAGGGCTTTCCGCTGCGCATTGAGAGCTGATGCAAAGTGAACGTCAGAGGATGGTGAGTTTTTGAATCCATACCATTGATGATGATGATGATGACGCCGGACCAATTTCACCAGCCAATTTCTGCGACTAGTATCATGCTACTTGGGTGGAGTGAATGCTGCCCGGTCCAGCCATGTACGGTTGAGGGTTCAGCAACCGCGTCGCACCCAGTAGCTCTAATTGCCATCCCTATCACCATACTTGTATCGCCCACACTTCACGCGCGACTACTTGACATCTAATTGTTATTCTGAGCCAATCACAATAACCCTAGAAGATGGATAGAGGTAAAAATAACGGATTTCTATGGGATTTCCTAGCTATGAAATGGCTACTGCAGATATTACACGATTTTGCTACCACAAGAAGGCCGGAAACCCAATTCTGTACCTAAATATGCGTCAGAGCCTACACATTTGGGGGCATAACACTTCCGAACGACGTGTGTTATAGGGCAAAATGCCTTGTTCGAAATCTGATTAACATAATCCGAGGATCGTCTCAAATTCAAAGCGCTAGATACACCATAATTATCAGACCAGTTGAGCTTACCTTCACACTGCTCAGACGACACGAACCAGACTTCTGGTGCCACTTCCCTTACAGCTTGATGCGGCGGTCATCAGTCCTTACGCGATACTTGTCTATGTCCATTCACTACTTGCTGATTTCAATGGATGATGTCTCGAAAGCTAATGGATCCGGGGTACTTACAGATAACGGAGGCCAGATGGTGGTTAGAGCAGAGCGCGAATTGACTGACCGGAAAATCCGTAGTTCGAACCGACCTCTGCCTCTCGACTTCCCCTGTCTAGGCTTGGGCAACCTGGCAGTATCCCAGCCCTCGTTCTTCCTTCGAATGGCATGGCAGCTAGGCACCGGAAGGGTGCTACAGCTGAACAAACTTATCATGGCGCAGAGGTTTGTTCACTTCGGTAACCCAATTCACCGGCACTGGAGGCTGTCCGTGGGCAGTGTCCTAACAAACTCAGCCTCCTAAGGCTCCAGGTTGGACGTTCCAACAAGTGTTGCAGTTTGTTCCCCAACTTGTTCGTGGTCTCACCCCGAATTTCGTTGTCTTGCGGTCAAGCTTTTCAACCATAGACTTTGGTTGAGGATTCTGATGGTTTCCCTCTCTGAATTCGGGAACCCTGATAGTATCTCGGTTGACACAACTAATCGTTCAGTTGTAGCACCCTTTCGGCTCCTAGCCGCCATGCCACCCGAAGGATGCATGAGGGCTGGGTTACTGCAAGGTTGCCCAAGCCTAGACATACAACCATAAGGTGTACGGTGATTAAGGGATGGCTGGCCTCCGAACACACCTTGTCTTGCTTGTGCTTGGTGCCGTTGGTGACAATGAGGATATTTTCTACCGTTCCGTGATGTAAATCCATTCATGTACAGGTGAGCAGGCGATAAAGCGGTATTTCAATCTTAAATTTGTGGCTACCTGAACCTAAGAAGGAAGTTGACACCTAATTAGCAACTATTTTTAGGGTGTGGTTCTAGAAGCCCTATGCAATTACCTCGTTACCTTCCATTCCTTTACTTTTAAAGTTGTTTTGGAGACAACATAAGTAGTGTCCGTTGAGTAGTTGAAAGAGCACTCAGTCAATATTATTGACTGGTCCGCAATTTTCAGGTTATGCCAATCAGTTCATATACCTCGCATTGAGTCCCATTTCGTATCAGCCTGTCCTGGGTGGGACTAAATTATGCACAGTGCAAGCGTTGATCAGCGACATAGGTTGTCCGAGATTTCCGCCAAAGTTGTTTTTATGGTGTGAAAGTGTTAGTGATCAGTGCGCAAATTTTCAAGATTTCGATAGCGAATGGCCATGTTTTGGCTTCATAGATGCCCTTTGTCACCATGTTTCATTTCGGTTCTTGGATTGTACGTTGACGCTTGTTACTGACATGGCGGACTTTGTCCCATGCCAACTTTACGCAAAATGAAGCTCGTTTCTTTGCATGGGCATACGGCCTTCTAGTACCTGTTACCCATTTGTCGGACTACAATCTACGAGTGTTTTGGGAGGTAGGTATATGCCTGGAAGTTAGTGTGACTTTTGGGGTCTGTTTCTTTCCAGAAGTCCTTTCGAGCAATTTCTGGCCTTCTAGATCTCACCATCCTTATCGATCTCTACGTAATTCACTTGCACGGGGTATATTGTCTGCCTAAAATCTAAATGGCGATGGTTTCAAATAATTCCTCAGCACGTTTTCAGTGGTATTCCTCTTACAGACTTCTCTTTCTGCCGTGGTTTCACAACCGGTAGGTTTATTACACCGTCCTCTTTTCATTTCCGCAACCCCAGGTCCAATGTTCCCCTACGGCTGGCGAGTGTTGCACTCACAACTGTCAGTTTCGTGGGACGTCACATCTTTGCCGTGGAGCTGATGAGTGCTATCGGTCGGCATACTGTAATGGAGTTGAAGCGAAGTGCCCCACTTCTGAACATCTGCCTGATGGCACACCTTGCCAGGTGAGTATGCTGGGACGCGTTTTTTGTGGTCACCTGTTCGATTTCTGAACAGAGGAATCAAGCCTAGTGACAACTCCACCATTGCTCGTAAACCTAATTGGTTCGTGTCTGTTTCACCCGAAAAGCACTTCCATCGTTTTTGCATGCCATCATGCAAACGGAATATCCAGCTGTGTTAATTAGCGACGCCTGCACACGCTGTGCGTGTGAATTTTGACTCATTCTTGTGTACTGTAGTGTTTGTGTAAGAGAACAGAAGCTAAAACTACACAGCACTTTCGTTGTCCTAGGTTGTTGAGACGTTGGGAAGTTGAAGAACGGTCGTTTCGAAGAACCTGAACTGATGCGGAACTGAATGCTACTCATATGACCAGAATTAAGAGTGCTCCGTTTGCGGTACTTCTCGCTGGTTTATTTCCAAACCACGAGCTTTCTTCATCCACTGCACTTCTTAGTGTTAGTGACACCGAGTTTGGACGGATGTGCTCCTCATCTCTGCGAGTTCATACTGCAAAGTTCTCAGTTTTGCGTCTCGGTCTCTTACGGGAACAAAACTGTGGTTGTGAGTGTACTGACCCGTCCACATTTTGGGGTGAATCCATCTAACTCTCGACTTGCTTTATCGCTATCAAGCTGAGTTCAATTCAAACTTCTGTCGTTCCGTGAAACCGAAATCATCATCCGCATATCGGTTGCAACGGTCGAAGATCGTCCTACTAAATGCCAGTCGTTGAGTATTTGTTTTTTCCATTAACACATCAGTTTATCCTGGGCCTGAAAGAAAACCTTTTGCTCTACATTCATCTGTCGAAACAGAATTTTATAGTTTCCGTGTAACAATGACCTCTGTTTGTATATTAGCGTGCCTATTTTGGCTTATTCGTTCTAGACTTCCGGGTAGTTTTGTTCAAATAATCGTATATTGGTACCACGCCATCTTGTTTGCAGGAAGCCCTCTAATGAAAGGCAATAATGTGCAGTTTGACGCTTAGACATTGACCTTGAAGGAGCGACTGACACTTTCTTCTGTGGTTGAACTGTCATTTAGTTGGGTAAGGTGACGCGGAGCACCTGATCAACATTATTTACAGCTCAGAGTAAGGTAGTCCTCTTCTGGTTGCACCTTTCCGAATGAATGCTATTTCGGTTCCTCACTAGTGGGTTACAGTTGTCTCGTTTTCACTCATCAGTCCGTAAAATGGAGCTGAGAAGAGTTATTGGCGATCGACAGCTCCGTAACACTTGAGGGATATGAAGTATTCGTCAGCCTACCGGAGCTATGGCTAGTCATTCGCTGATGTTCAGTTGACCTGATTCTCAAAGCTGAGTGAGTGAATCCCAAGTTAAAGTGCGAGAATTAAGAAGCGGACAAATTATGGCTGGTAATGAACGAAATTGCAAAAAGTCGACAGTGTGCATGCAATCCGCCCTCCAGAAATGGATCCATGAGATCTTCCCTATGCTTAATTGGAGACTTTACAAGCGGTGGTCGCTAACTTATATCGACTGTGTTCGGTTTCTCTCAGACTATATGGTTTTTGAGAGTAAAGACACTTCTAATGTTTGTTTTAGGGTACCGCCTGGTTCTTCTCTGTCTTTAGTATTCCTATTACGGGAATAAGTTGGCGTGGTTTACGGTGGTGACATGTTGCTCTTTGTGCTGGTTGTCTGCGATGATGCTGATGACTTTGCGGCCACTTCTGCCCGTGGTTTCGCTGAAACTCATCATCATCATCCACAGCATGGCATCAGTGTTCGATACCGATGCTTCGCTGAAACTAGTAGGGGCAGCTTCACTTGCTATTGATAACGCTGAATTGTTGGCCAAATTACTTTCAGCGACCAATCTGTTTTGACCAGATAAGTACTTTCGACAGGAGTGTGCACAAAGCGAAGACTGGCCTGTCTCATTATCCGCACCAAAGTGAATCGTCAGTGTCGAACAGCATCATTTGAGGAGCTGGTATCCGTCTGATCGTGGATGAATGCCCGCTCAGTGGGACTGTGGTCACTTGTCGGACCCCGTGTATTGGTGTTCCCGATTTTCATCACAATTCTTGAGTCAATTTTTACAAATGCGTACATCATACTGGCTGCTAAGGTTTTGCAGCGCCACAAACAAATCGTCGGAGAAAAAGCTAAAAGAACAAAGTTGGATAAGTGATTCAAGGAGATAAGTAGCTTGGATTACTCGTGATACGCTGCTGTTTCACTCATATAGACAATATCAGCCTGGATACGACGTGAATGTCTGGGAAATACGAACTTGTTTTTAGCCTACGATGACAGCTCGCTAGCTTGCGGTGCCCTGACCACAATAACCGAAATCTGGTAACCTCTGATGTCGTTGTCAGAAATTGACAAAGATCTGTGATAAGGCGAGAACTGCTCAGATTTGCTTGGTAGGTACTACTAGAGTAGACCAGAGTGAGCCTTCATCTAATCCGTAACCGGTTCGCCATTTCCGATAGTTTGTCGCCGGACACGGAACGCTGTTTCCTTATATCCAAATACAAAGTAGAAACGACCCAAGAATTACAAGTTACAACTTGTTTTCGAGGCACACAATTGAAGTTACCCTCCCTGCTAATGGGAACTTTGAGACGGGCCACCTCAGGTGGGTCCCACTGGCGAGCGTGACCCAGTCATTTGTACGATGGCTCTCGTGTATCCGAACCACCTGTCTTTTATCACCACTACTGAATAATAGAAAACAATCCGTCCGAAATTTTCATGTCCATGACCAACAATAAATTTCACTCGATTGGCCGCCTACCCATTCTGAACTGGCTAGTTGTGGTAGTCATCTTAATCCAAATCATCATCATAATCACCAAAATCACTGTTTTTCAGCAACCTCATGAGTAGTGTGTTACGTCTATACACTGTTGTCACTTTTTATGCTCGAAACTGTCAGTTCACCGGAGCAAGTATGCGTCATTACCGATATCCGTCTATCCCACACGTGGTGCGTAAATTCACAGGCAGTTCTTCATTGTTTACTGTCGATTAATTTGCACCGCAGCGGTTTTATGAACAGCATGGGCGACACTCATAATGTTGATTATTTCGCATCCAGGTAGCACATCCTGACTCTGTCCCGTGCTTTATTTCGAACCATCTACCGTATTTATAGTCTGTTAGGCGGTGCACTGAGAAAACTGGTTAAAGTTACTTCGTGTTATCCATCAATCGTCGTCTCTCTCATCCTGTTCACCCGTCAGGATCATACACGCGTATGTAAACAAGGCCAGTGCATCGGTTCGATTTGCGAACGCATTCCCGGCTGGCACGAGTGTTCTCTCGTGCGCAACAAAAATGTCACGCCTGAGATGATGTGCTTTGTGTCCTGTCGGGAAAACCGAACTGGGGCACCTTGTATAAGCACGTTCCAGCTAGAACAGGTTAGTCACCTTATCGGAAGGTCGCATATCTGCCTTTTTGTTTCTTGTGGGGTTTTGTCTTTTGTGTCGCAACCAATGTCTTGATCGTGGACACGGTGTCTCTGCATTCAGTTGTCTATGTTTCTATCTCATGTTCATTGTTTATCTTCTAAGACATGTTCATGGTGACTCATCACTGCCTTGCGCATTCTCGGACCCATCCGTCCATCGAACTTCTGGTCGGGTTGCGCAACTTGTACGTTTTGTCAGTGAACTACATGGATCATGCCAGAATGCGTTCCTTCTCTCTCTCCTAAAAAGGTTGTTTATCCATAGGTATTTTACTTGTGACCTTTTGGTCCAACAAATAGGAATAGTGATAAGAACCTAACGGATACCGCGGTGATTTCCTAACAATTTTTCATGAGTAAACAGTTCGAATGGACCATGAAAGTTATAATTTAGATGTCCCTGAATAAGGGCACGGTAAGGAGCACGTCTTTCTGCCTCTCCTTGAGAAGTTTCTTGAACGTGACTAACTGACAGCGTCAGAAAAGGGTCGATAGTCGCTCTGGTAAGTAAAGTCAGAACACACTACGGCACTAATGGATTGTAGTATTCCGTGTCCAACCGTAGGATTACGCAAAAACTCACTGCTTTTTCCCGCCGAATTTTCGTCTTCACACGCAACCTGCGTACTTTCGGGGCCGAACCGTGATCAGGTAATCAGGTCGGTAGTACCCGAGGGAGTATAGACCCCACATTTTAAACACCTTCAAATCTTATTCTTTTCTTCTTTTCTCTGCACTCCTGCGGTGGCCATTTTCTATCAGATGCGCTTCCTACCACACTTTATTGGTCGTTCATGATGTTATCGTTAAAAAATTGCTCAGCAGTAGCAACCTAGCTGCCATGCCACGAGAGCTGAGATACTGCCAGGTTGCCAAAGCCTAGACAGGGGAAGTCGAGAGGCAGAGTTAGGGTTCGAACCACGGACATTCCGGTCAGTCAACTCGCGCTCTAACCACTTGGGCTGTAGCTTCCTGTTCCTCTATTTAAGATGGCTTTTTCCCATAAAAAAGTTGAAAAGGCAGGTTTTGTTACAGGTTGTTTCGTTGGTTCTCGTATATTCGGTTCTGTCTCTTTGTGACTCTCCTTGTGACAAGTGTGAGCCATGGTAACTCAGGTAGGGCCACAAGAGCATTTCTCACCAGTGAGGATATCTCGAGGAGATATCAGACTCATCTCCCGCTCTGCCCTACGCTCTCTCTGATTATTGGACCCATTTGAGATTTAATTGACAAGTGCGAAAGACGGGGTGTTTTAACCAGACCAACTTTGATACAGCTCAGGTTTCATATATACTAGAAGCGAGTGAATCCCGAAAGAAGATATGCTCGTGGTTTTCGGCATTTCTCTCACTTTCATCAGTCCAGATTGCCAAACGGAGAGGATTTATAATACGGGCTACGTGGGTGTATGGCAGTGAAGCATCAGTGCCAGTGATGATGCTGCTGTCTTTGCTAATGATGATGATGTTGATGATGACGACGATGATGAGTGGGTGTGTAGTGCGTCGGTTCCTGAAGAGACACGGATATTTTCTCATTGTTTTCTGAACACATGGGGACGGACATCAGTATAGCCAATATGGTTTTACTGAACACCCTAAGTCTGGTAG